TCAGTTCCTGAGATAATTTTACCTTTAAAGCTAATTTTAACTCCTATTCACCTGTGCTGGTTTGGTCCCTTTAAAAGGGGCATGGCTGAGATTACCTAAGGTTCCATTAAAATTTTATTATAAAAAGTTGAATTTTCATATTTGGTGGAATTGTAAAAAAGTAAAGGCTTTTTGGATTATGATTTGGTGGAATATTCAAAAGATTTTTAGAAAAAAGATAAAGTTTACTCCTCAACTATTTTTACTTGGTATTTTTGTTGACTTAAATGAAAAAGAAACTACTTTGATGTTGAATTTATTAACTGCAGCAAGGTTATTGGTTTATATTGGAAGAAAGATTCCTTGCCTACTTTAGAAGAATGGATATTTAAAGTATCTAGTTTTGCAGAAATGGCAAAAATTTCTGCTTATTTAAAGGATCATACACAAGAAAGATATATTATTGTATGGGGAAGGTGGATAGATTATATTCAGAAAAAGTATGGAATTAAAAAGTTTCACTTATTTTATGAATGAATATTAAATATTATAGAGAATTGTTTTATAGGTTATGGAGTTAAAGGTTAATTATGATAAAAAACATTTCTTTTTTCTTTTCTTTTTTTTTCCTTTTTCTTAATTATTATAAATTTTGTTATTATTAACCCTGTATTCTGCTCTGGGAAGTGAAGGGAGGGGGGTTGGAGGTGGGAGGGGGGTTGGAGGTGGGAGGGAGGGTAAGGGTTTTTTTTTTCTCTATTTTAAAATTTTATTGTATTTTTATAAATGCTTGTATGTTAAAAAAAAATTTTTTTTTTCAATAAAAAGTTGAATTTTTGGCTAAAATTACCCCAAGAATTTACTTTATTCCTAAGAGGAAAGTCAGTTCCTGAGATAATTTTACCTTTAAAGCTAATTTTAACTCCTATTCACCTTTGCTGGTTTGGTCCCTTTAAAAGGGGCATGGCTGAGATTACCTAAGGTTCCATTAAAATTTTATTATAAAAAGTTGAATTTTCATATTTGGTGGAATTGTAAAAAAGTAAAGGCTTTTTGGATTATGATTTGGTGGAATGTTCAAAAGATTTTTAGAAAAAAGATAAAGTTTATTCCTCAACTATTTTTACTTGGTATTTTTGTTGACTTAAATGAAAAAGAAACTACTTTGATGTTGAATTTATTAACTGCAGCAAGGTTATTGGTTTATATTGGAAGAAAGATTCCTTGCCTACTTTAGAAGAATGGATATTTAAAGTATCTAGTTTTGCAGAAATGGCAAAAATTTCTGCTTATTTAAAGGATCATACACAAGAAAGATATATTATTGTATGGGGAAGGTGGATAGATTATATTCAGAAAAAGTATGGAATTAAAAAGTTTCACTTATTTTATGAATGAATATTAAATATTATAGAGAATTGTTTTATAGGTTATGGAGTTAAAGGTTAATTATGATAAAAAACATTTCTTTTTTCTTTTCTTTTTTTTTCCTTTTTCTTAATTATTATAAATTTTGTTATTATTAACCCTGTATTCTGCTCTGGGAAGTGAAGGGAGGGGGGTTGGAGGTGGGAGGGGGGTTGGAGGTGGGAGGGAGGGTAAGGGTTTTTTTTTTCTCTATTTTAAAATTTTATTGTATTTTTATAAATGCTTGTATGTTAAAAAAAAATTTTTTTTTTCAATAAAAAGTTGAATTTTTGGCTAAAATTACCCCAAGAATTTACTTTATTCCTAAGAGGAAAGTCAGTTCCTGAGATAATTTTACCTTTAAAGCTAATTTTAACTCCTATTCACCTTTGCTGGTTTGGTCCCTTTAAAAGGGGCATGGCTGAGATTACCTAAGGTTCCATTAAAATTTTATTATAAAAAGTTGAATTTTATTATTTGGTGGAATTGTAAAAAAGTAAAGGCTTTTTGGATTATGATTTGGTGGAATATTCAAAAGATTTTTAGAAAAAAGATAAAGTTTACTCCTCAACTATTTTTACTTGGTATTTTTGTTGACTTAAATGAAAAAGAAACTACTTTGATGTTGAATTTATTAACTGCAGCAAGGTTATTAGGTTTATATTGGAAGAAAGATTCTTTGCCTACTTTAGAAGAATGGATATTTAAAGTATCTAGTTTTGCAGAAATGGCAAAAATTTCTGCTTATTTAAAGGATCATACACAAGAAAGATATATTATTGTATGGGGAAGGTGGATAGATTATATTCAGAAAAAGTATGGAATTAAAAAGTTTCACTTATTTTATGAATGAATATTAAATATTATAGAGAATTGTTTTATAGGTTATGGAGTTAAAGGTTAATTATGATAAAAAAATTTCTTTTTTCTTTTCTTTTTTTTCTTTTTTCTTAATTATTATAAATTTTGTTATTATTAACCCTGTATTCTGCTCTGGGAAGTGAAGGGAGGGGGGTTGGAGGTGGGAGGGAGGGTAAGGGTTTTTTTTTTTCTCTATTTTAAAATTTTATTGTATTTTTATAAATGCTTGTATGTTAAAAAAAAAAATTTTTTTTTCAATAAAAAGTTGAATTTTTGGCTAAAATTACCCCAAGAATTTACTTTATTCCTAAGAGGAAAGTCAGTTCCTGAGATAATTTTACCTTTAAAGCTAATTTTAACTCCTATTCACCTTTGCTGGTTTGGTCTCTCTAAAAGGGGCATGGCTGAGATTATCTCAGGTTCCATTAAAATATTATAAGAACTTGAATTCTTGGCTAAAATTACCCCAAGAATTTACTTTATTCCTAAGAGGAAAGTCAGTTCCTGAGATAATTTTACCTTTAAAGCTAATTTTAACTCCTATTCACCTTTGCTGGTTTGGTCCCTTTAAAAGGGGCATGGCTGAGATTACCTCAGGTTCCACCAAAATTTTATTCTAAGAACTTGAAATATTGGCTAAAATTATCCCAAGAATTTACTTTATTCCTAAGAGGAAAGTCAGTTCCTGAGATAATTTTACCTTTAAAGCTAATTTTAACTCCTATTCACCTTTGCTGGTTTGGTCCCTTTAAAAGGGGCATGGCTGAGATTACCTCAGGTTCCACCAAAATTTTATTCTAAGAACTTGAAATATTGGCTAAAATTATCCCAAGAATTTACTTTATTCCTAAGAGGAAAGTCAGTTCCTGAGATAATTTTACCTTTAAAGCTAATTTTAACTCCTATTCACCTTTGCTGGTTTGGTCCCTCTAAAAGGGGCATGGCTGAGATTACCTCAGGTTGGACCAAAAATTGACTAGAATTACTTTAAGACACAGCGGTTTGCGTTATTCCCCGAGCGAAAGAGTGAGATTAAGTATTTTTAGTGACCTATGCTATTGGAGTCCTTTGAATAAAACACCGTTGAGCAACCACTGGCGTTTTACTCCTAAGAATACACGCCGTGGTTAAAATTACCATAGGTGCTATCCCGACTCCTCGAGAACAATAAGCTATTATTTAGTTGAAGAACTCACGCCCCCCTCCGCATCCCTAAAAGGTAAAAAAATTATCAGCTACAATTACCTCAAAGCTCAAAAGGCCCTGCCCGGCCTCGAGCTCGAGGACTTGAGCCGCGGGAGCGCCGGAGAGAGACATTTTTGCCCTCCGGCGCCCCGCAGCAAAAAGGAAAAAATCGGCAGGCTCTCAGGCTGAGTGCCAAAAGAAAAGCGAGCCCTCTGCAGAGGCAGGAGACGCCGCTACCGCCTCTCTTTTGAGGAAAAAGAGAGGCGGCAGCGGCGGCGGCTACCTCTACAGGGGGATCGCTTTTAATTTTGCACTCTGCCTGAGGAGCCCGCCGACTTTTTAAATGCCCCCGCCTTTCGGAGAGGGGAGAGGCCGCTCAGCCAATCCGAGGGAAGCGTTTTCGGGGCAGCCAATCACGAGCGAGATGGGCGTGCAGACAGGAGCCAGCGAGGCGGGCCGAGGCCGAGGGCGCTGGGCGGGAAAGGCGCGCGCTGTTTCCCGCGCAAAAACAGGTGCGAACGCTCGGCTGGTTTCCCAGCTCGCGCACCGGTTGCCATGGAGACGGGCGCACTGGTTGCCATGGAGACGGCCACAGCGCGGGAAGCGGCTCATCACGGTCACGTGTGCTTCGGCCCGCACAGGTGAAGGTGATTAGATTGCGTAATGCCTCCTCGGCCTTCGCCCCGCCTACGGCGCCCTTCGCCCCGTCCGGGGACCCTTTGGACTACAAATCCCATCCGTCAGGCAGCCTTGTGCCTGAAAGGCTGCCTCCCATCCCTCTCCCGTTGCAAAGGCCCAGTTTTTAAAATACCCCATCATTTTTGCAGCTGTGCTTTTTAGGAGATCAGAGGGCGACTTGGGCTTCCACTGGATTTCAAGTCCCATCAGCCACCTCTGGGATGCTGATGGGGATCGTCCCTTCGTCCAACAGAGAACTTTTTCTTGTTGAGCAGGAAAATGCTTAAAATGCTGTTTAAAAAAAAAATCTGAAAATTTAATAAATGCAAAATAAAATAAAGATTATATGCAGAATTTAGGTGATGCTTTGGACTACAGGTCCCATTAGCCAGCCTTGGGGGGATGCTAATGGGGATTGCTTCTCTTGCAATAAGATTGCCTTTCTGGTTGGTGGGTCCTTCCCCCCCCCCAAAAAAAAATTCAAACCCTTTTTTGTTTTGTTTGCATCTTCTCTACCATGTTATGATCTTGCCAGGCAGCCCTTGGTTTTATTTGTTATTTTTTTCCAGTTTTTTTTTTCTTTAGAAAAAAAAAATTCAAGACTGGTTTGTTTTGCTTTGTTTGGCTTCCTAGGGATTCTGCTAAAATGTACAATAGAGTTTCTGATACATGGTGTCTTCCCAGTGAAAAAATTGACTTAAATTTGAAACTGTTTCTTCCTTTTTCTATTATTGGAACTCTTTCCTCCCCTACCCTCAGTTAAATGTTTTCAAAAGAGATCTGATACATTTCTATCAACATTATAAATATTTTAATAACTTTTAATGAAACCCCTCTCAACATTTTCCACGTTGCGCCCTCCAGACAGGGTAGGACAATGATCTGCAGAATTAACCTACCAGCTTTGTTTTCCTTTATTAAGAAAAATATTCCAGCACTGTTCAACAAACCACTGTTAAGAGACAAATACCTTCTTGTTAAGGAAAGCTGCTTCACTAAGCCATTTTATTTGGCTGGGTAGAGGAAAGGAATATTTTGCAAGTGATTGCAGAGAGACCACAATATCAAAATATTCTCACAAATTCTGGGTTTGGCACAAAGGCAACGCTTTCTGAATTGGTTCTGATAAGTTCTTGCTTCAAGGAATTGCAGATGATTCTCAAAATACTTGGAATATGTCTTGTTCAGCCCAGGCAGGAGTTAAGATGGCCAGTTGCGTTTTATTCCAAAATTACAAAAAAATAAAAAAAAAAATAATCTCCCTGAAATACAGTCAAATATTTTGTTGCTTGACAATTTTGGCAGCCATAGATCACTTTTCTGATTATTATTATTTTTTTAGCACCAACACTGGTCTGGATACACAATAAAGACTCCTTAAAAGCAGCTCGAAGGATACCCAAAGAAAACAGAAAGATTCAAGCTGCTAATTTGTACAAAATTATTTTTTAAAAAATGCACAGATGCAAAAACATTCCTTCATTTCTTAGGAGTCACAAATGTTTCCCCCCCAAAAAACAACCCCACAACTTTTCATAATCAACTGTTATCTAATTAGAACCGTTTTTACTTCCAGGCAGATGGACGTGGTCCCTAAAGAGCTTGTGTCATGGACCAAAATGCAGTCATGATTAAAACAATTTTGCAACGGATGGACCTCAAAACTGTTTTCTTAACAAACAGGCCACAATTTTAGAGATCCCAGCTCTTCCCCAATCTCAATTAGTCATCCTATTTACATAGGTTAAAATCTCGGGGGGGGGGGGGGAGGGGGAGAAAGAAAGTGATTTGGTTTTTCCTTTGGGTCCTCTGAATAGGTTCGTTTTTCTCCCCCTTCTCTGAAGTTGCAAGCAGAAAACAATTTTAGACGTCGTAATAGAAATCTAATTTTGTGTAAACTGTCTTGCACCCTTTGTCAGAATAGATCCGCTCCTCTTTGGGGAAATAGGTCATCTCATCGGCCACCCGTGAGACCACGGCTTCATTGATGGGGTGGCCCCGCAATTCCAATTCAGCCCTGATGCACATTTTCACATGGCTGATTTCGAGAGGCAGGAAGGGAATAAAGTAATCAATGACATTTCGGTCGATCAGGTTGCTGTGCCAAAATCCACCTGCAAAAGAAAACCACATTGTCTTCAGTTGGATTAGTTTGTAATGCAATTAAAACAAAAGCAACTACAGGTAGTCCAGTATTTGAGGGGCTGCCACAAAGAAGAGGAGGGGGTCAGCCTATTCTCCAAAGCACCAGAAGGCAGGACAAGAAGCAACGGATGGAAACTAATCAAGGAGAGAAGCAACCTGGAACTAAGGAGAAACTTCCTGACCATTAGAACAATCAGTGGAACAGCTTGCCACCAGAAGTTATGGGTGCTCCATCACTGGAGGCTTTCAAGAAGAGATTGGACAGCCATTTGCCCAGAATGGTAGGGTCTCCTGCTTGTGCAGGGGGTTGGACTAGAAGACCTCCAAGGTCCCTTCCGACTGTTATTCCTTGATTTACGACCATTCATTTAATGACCATTCAACATTACAATGGCGCTAAAAAAGTGATTTATAACCAGAATTTGCACTTATGTCCATTGTGATGTCCTATGGTCACATAGTCAAAATTAGGGCGGTTGGCAACTAGCATGTATTTACGACAGTTGCCGCATCCTAGGGTTGTGTGATTGTCATTTGTGACCTTCCCAGCCAGCTTCTGACAAGCAAAGTCAATGGGGGAAGCTGGAGTCACTTAATAACCAAATGGTTCATTTAACTATGGTAATTTGATTAACAACTGCAGCAAAAAAGGTTGTAAAATTGGAGATGACTCACTTTACAACCGCCTGAATAAATAACAGATGTTCTGGTCCCAAACAGAGTCGTAAGTTGAGAACTAGTAAAAACTGTAGACTCCTGGCAGTTGCATGAATTAGTCCCTGCAGGTTTCCGGGCAAGGTTTTGGGGAAGTTGTTTACCACTGCCTTCTTTCTAGGGCTGAGAGAGAGGGGCTGGCCCAAGGTCATCCATCTAGCTTCTAGACTAAGTCAGGACTAAAATTCACAGCCATGAGAGTCACTTTGGTGTAGTGGTTAAGGCACCAGGCGACAGTGAGTTCTAGTCCAGCCTTAGGCATGAAAGTCAGCTGGGTGACTTTGAGCCACTGACTCAATGCAATCTACCTCACAGGGTTGTTTCTGTGAGAAAAAGGAGAAGGAAACTGTCTTGCATATGTTGAGTTATTTGTAAAAATGATAAAGGTGGGATGCAAAAAAATGAATGTGATACTCACTATTTTTGTTATTAAACACAGAATTCGACAATGTCTGTTGCAAAACATGGAGAGGCAGCTCTTCCCTCTTCTTTCCATTCTTCCAGTGGTCGATTGCCACTTCGGTTATTTTTTCAGCTCCTGCATTGCTGGAGAAAAAAGAGAATTTTCATACACTGGTAGCTGAAAGCAGCTTCTATGCTCCTGCAAAGCACGGCTGAAGAGTGCCAGCCATCACAGCTAAGCAGTTTTGGCTTGAGGGAATAGAAATCCAGAGAGATGGGGGGGGGGGTTTGGACATACCCTTTCAAAGGGCAACAAAAATGCGGCAGTATTGTGTTTGAATCCATAAAGTACAGGTAGTCCTCAACTTACAACCACAATTGAGCCCAAAATTTCTGTTGCTGAGACAATTAAGTGAGTTTACTTTATTTTATGACCTTTCTTGCCACAGTTGCTAAGTGTATCACTGCAGTTATTAAAGTTAGTGATACGGTTATTAAGTGAATCTGGCTTCCCCATTGACCTTGCTTGTCAGAAAGTCGCAAAAGGGGATCATATGGCCCCGGGACGCTGCAACCGTCATAAATACGAGTCGGTTGCGTCTGAATTTTGATTACGTGACCACGGGGATGCTGCAACAGCCGTGTGAAAAAGGGTCATAGGTCACTTTTTTTAGTGCTGTTGTAACTTTGAACGGTCATTAAACGAACGTTAAATTGAGGAGTACCTGTACAGCTAGTCCTTGACTTACGGCCAATCTCTTAAGTATAACCTAAATGTACTTTCTCTCCAGCAAATTTGTTTTAAAATATGCTTTTTTGGGGGGGTAGCCCAGCACAGCAACGATGCCTAACCTGAGGAAGATGAAAATCGCTTTTCGATATGATATGCCATCTATTTCTTCATAATATTCCAGGAAAGGCTTAATGGAGTCTATGAGTCCAGCGTGCATTTTGTCCATCTCATCAAATATAAAGATCGACCTTGCACAGGAACTCACGTTGCCACGAATCCACGTTTGCAATTGGTCCTGAAAGATTAAAAGCAAAGAAGCTGAACACACTTCCCAGCAATCAACACCCAGATGAGCAGACATTAACACCAAGGAAAACATTGGGCTTTCCAGCAGTTCCCAAGCATAATCCGGGCCTGCTTACCTTATACTGACTGATGTTCTGCTGATGTGGGAAGTGCAAAGTAGACACAAACTGGTGCACGTATTTGCTCTTGAGGCCTTCATCGTAAAGGCTTTCCGCCACAATCTTACTGACGAAATTCTTGCCCGTCCCCGTCCATCCGTGCAAAGAGAGGGCCAAGGGTTTTTTCGGATTTGGGTTTGTCAAAAACCCGGTCACGGCTTTCACTATCACCTCAGACACAAGATGTTGTCCAAAGACTTTTTTCTCCAAATTGTCCTTCAGATCTGCAGCAGGGAATGTTGGGAGAAGCAAGAAATTAAAAGAATTATTATCTGGTCATCGAGAACGTTCGAACTTGGAAATCGGAAGGTCTTCTGTAGAAATAGAGGACTATTTTATCTACTTCCTGAGTGGAGATCAAAAAGACTCATTAAAAAAATTAAAACCAAAGTCCTTGACTTACAACCATTCCTTTAGTGACCCTGCAAAGTGTCAACGGCATTGAAAAAAGTGAATTATGATCATTTTTCACACTTATGACAGTTGCAGCATCCCCCTGGTTACGTGATCAAAATTAAGACGGTCGGCATACTGACTCACATTTATGACGGACACAGGATGCCAGGATCATGTGTTCCCCTTTTGCGACCTGACAAGCAAAGTCAATGGGGAAGACATTCATTTAACATCTTAACTGTGGCAAGAAAGGTCTTAAAGTGGGACAAACTAATTTAACAACTGTCTCGCTTAGCAACAGAAATGTTGGTCTCAGTTATGATAGTAACTTGAGGACGACCTGGTCAATAGCCCCCGCTGCCACGCCCATTTCCCTGACGTCATAGCACGCCCTTCCTCACGTCCCCTGCCGCCCCGCCCCTTGCAAGAACGGTGACGCCACCCACCTTGCCTGACCTGCGCCACCGGCCTTTCCACGCAGCATTCGGCAAAGTAGCAATACAGCCTCGGGAGGGAGATGAGGCCGGTGAGGGCCGAGGCGGTGCCGGCCAAGGCTATGCCCACGGTGACTGGGTCCATCGCCCGCGCCCCCGGGCCCACCTGCCACAGGATCAGGGCCAGGCCCCATAGCGCCCCGGGCGCTCGGAGCTGCTTCATCGCCAGCAGCCGCTCTTGGGCCGCCGCCTAATTCACCTTAGCGCCGCGCTTCCGTTTCCGACCAAGCAGCTTCCGGCCCTGTGGGCGCCATCTTTGCACCGGGCAGGTTGGCACGGGCGGGAAGGCCAATGGTTGCCGGAGAGAGAGTGGGCGTGGCCTTGCTTCCCCGCCTTCCTCGATTTGCCGCTAGTCGGATTTCCGCCTTCTGGATCTTCACGCTATCAATAGACCCGGGTCAGCATTCTGTTTTGACTTCACCCCCAACCGCCAAGTGATGACACGCGTTTCAGCCTCGTGTGAATTGCAAGCAATTGTTCAGAGCCTTTTTATTGCATGGGGTGGGGTGGGGTATTTTTTCTCTGCTAGGACATATCTTTGCAAAAAGGATGAGTTGCTTTGCTGTTGCTCCGAGTCTGATCCCCAGATACGTAGTTATTCTGATTTAAATAGCTGTCCATCTTCTATATACTCTACAAGACCCTGAGCGGCTTGCAAATAATTAAATGTAAAAAGAACAATTGTTGTTGTTGTTAATTGCGAAGTCGTGTCCGACCCACTGCGACCCCATGGACAACAACAAAGAACAATAGAAAAGTTCAAAGCCATCATTTGGCTGGTTACATGATGTCAGTTCAGTGTTGACTCTTAGTTGGAAGACTTGGAGGACCAAATTGTGGGTGTTCCATTGCTGGAGGTTTTTAAGAAGAGATTGGACAGCCATTTGTCTGGAATGATGTCCGGTCTGCTGCTCCAGCTGGAGGTTGGACTAGAAGACCTCCAAGGTCCCTGCCAGCCCTATTATTCTATGTTCTACTGGAGAGGACCAAGTAACTTATCTGAGATCTTTGGTGGGATGACAAAAATTTCCATCCTATGCCATTGCATGCAGAAAACACAGACAGACAAATCCTTCAGGCCATCCTCCACTTAAAGAGAAACCTTTATTGCTTGCACATGCAATACATTTCGACGCAGAGGAGTTTCGTGGAGAAAAATTGAAGCAAAATGAACATTGAAAAGAAGGGAGAAACATTAGAAATAGAGCCCAATCTCTGAGAACCAAACAAGCTCGCTTCAGTATCTCCGATTCATCTTCTTAAACTTTTCATAGTGATAATCGTCGGTGGCTTTCTCGTTCGGTGGGCGCTTGCGGTTTGGCGGAGACTCTATAAAATTTAGAAAGAGACACACCTCAAACTAAGGAACCAAGACTCTCAAATTAAGAGTTGTTGGATATGAGACGGGCGGTAAGTAAATGTCATAGACACATAAATAGGAATTTGAAAGAGATGAAACCTGTGCAATCTTCTGAGCTCCTACTCACCATTGGTGCCTGGCAAAGCGAGCCCTTTTCTATTTATTTATGATGGCAAAGCTGTGAACCATATGTTTCAAATCATTATCTATACAGTATGAAAACTTCCTGTTTGTAACCTTCGATTGGTCGAAACGGCCCAAATTTTTTAATCAACATATCTCAGATGGGCTAACTTAAAAGAATTTGTCCAAAATCCAGGATACATTGCTCCCATCGGATTGAAATTTCAAAAACCTTCAAAGATCTTCAAAGGTCAGTCATGATTATGTGACTGTTATTTCCAATGCTCCCTGCTAGGTTCCCACAATGGCTAAAACAATTTAGCTACCAGCTTGTGAGAACTAGACCAAAGTAGCAAGATAACACCGCAGTGTACATGACTTACTTTCCATTTCAGTTTTTTCGGTGTCTCCCACCCTCAGGGGTCGAGCCTTCGGTTCCTCTTTATTTCTTCGTACCGGAGCATTCAGCTCTTCGTGATAAACTGCAAAGAGATGTAACAATCGTGCTAGTTTAGAATCAACTGTATTAAATTTTTGGGTTTCAAACTACAGACGGTCCTTGACTTATGAACCACAATTAAGCCCAAAATTTCTGTTACTAAGCGAGACATTTGTTAAGTGAATCTCTGCAGTTCACCGTTTAAGTATGAAAATCACTGTGTTCAATGCCATTGTAACTTTCAACGGTCACTAAATGAATTGTAAGTCGAGGATTACCTGTATGGTTTTTTCACACCAGAAAGTAAATTTGGTTCCTAGCTTAAAGTGTGTCATGCGCTTGGTGTGTTTTCCTTGTTTTATCCTTGTGTGATATGCAAATTTACCACTGTGGTGTATAACGATTTATATTATTCTATTATCATCATTATTTTATGGTTTTTCATCAGGCCTGTGTTTAGCCATCAGGTTTCGTTCAACAAACTCAACTAATTCTAACCTCAACCTTGTTCAACACCAACCAATCCTGCTAGTCTCCATTTGATTATATGTCAATCAACTTTTATCCAGAACAGTGACCTTAAATCCTCTAGTACTCACATCGGTTGTGTTGGACGTAATTCACCGCCATATTGGTGGGGACGAAGGAAGTTTCGCTGTCTTTCTTCTTATTCTGCTGTTCAGCCAGCAATCTTGCCTTTGCATCTTCGGTTGAGATGATGTTTTTTATCTTGGCCCTAAGGAGAAACCAAAAGAAGCAAAATCAGGCTGAGATATTTTCACACTTCTGGGGAAGAAATGTTGGACTAAAGGGAACAGCTAATGGCAATGGTGGAATGAAGAACAGGCGAGTTGACTTGCTCTCCGATAATTCCTCTCTGGACAAGGAGAGTACTTGTCTAGAGAGTGCTTCTCATGACTGCAAAACAGCACTCTCTGGTGTGTTTAGAACTAAAGATCAAGATTATTGGAAGTAAAAGGAAAGAAACAAAGTTGGCTTATTTGATCAAGGTTAAAATATGTTATTTTCTCTGGAAATCCTTAATGGACTTTTCCTGACATCAGGACTGGAATGCTTTGTATGGATTTGTTTATAGATAAGAGATTGGACATGGGAAAAAGAGATCACTGGTTGTATATTAAGAGAAGGTGGTAAGTTACTGAAATTGTTTATACTTGTCCTGATGTAAAGAAATGTCGCTTTTTAAAAATCTTTGAGTTATAGTTTTTACTGTTGACATTGTAATCTTTGAAAGGAGAATATTTGTGGCCCTTGAAATGAGGGATCCTTGGTGCTCTCTGAGCTGGAATTCTTTCTTGCAGACGTTTCATGAGCCAAACTAGGTAACTAAGACTGATGATGCTACCTAGTTTGGGTAATGAAATGTAAGAAAACCAAGCTCAGAGAGTACCAAAGTCCCCTCATTTCAACCCGGAGCTACAAATATTCTCCTTTATTGGATTTGAAACTGTCAGCTTACTCAATTCCAAGGTCCACCTCAGGAATCCCACTCAGCATCTGATTGGACAGCATCTCTTCCGTCTTCTTCGCCGAAGAGACCCGGATGCTCTCCGGGAGCTCATACAGACAGTCCTCTGCGTTCTTCTGCTTTATTTTCTGCACCTCGCTTTCCATAATCCCCTTCCTCTTCTTGAGCTCTGTTTCGATGTATTTCATCCTGAATGAGAGACCCCAACTCAGAAACAGAAAACTGATGGCAGAAAAAGACCCAGTGTTTCATCAGGTCTGATTTATTTATCAAATTCTGTCATCAAGCAAGCAAATAATGGCAAGCCAGTTACATGTCTGCATCTTCATCCCTCCTGTTGGTCTCGGCTGAAAACGAGGTGCCAAGATTGAGGTCTTCCTCTTCGCTGATCCTATAAAAGGGCGACAAAGAGGACTCTAAGCAGCCTGAAGACAAAAGAGCCGGAATTCTCAGCCAACCCTCAATTCAAAATATCTAAGAGGCTCTGCTTTAAGAAGGCACATGTTACTCCTTGGCTTTCAATCTCACAACTGGGGCCAGAAGGGACCCACCTCTCCTTTCCCCGCTCTTTCAACTTCTTCATGTCCACCATTCCGCCCGACTTGATCTTAAAGGGATCATCCTGGTCATGTGGAGAGAATAAACAGAGAGAAGGTGCTCAGGGCCTCTTTTGCAGATGTTGGAGAAGAAAATGGTGGAATCTAAGTGCCACAAATGCTGATTTACCCAACTGGGCTTCCTCAGTCATCAAAATCACCTATTGCTCTAAATCAAGAATTGTTAAACTACTATTAACAATACACTGAAGTGGGTGGCATTTGCACATCACTTAACACCTTTGGGGGAGGGAGGAGTGTTTACAGGCCTCTCATCTCAAGGCTCCCCACTCTGATCTTACCACCAAAGTTGTCTCCTCTTGTAGCTTTTCTCCGACAAGCAAGGCTGCAGCACTTGGGGGGAAAAGAGACAAGAATGAAGAATTAGGATGATTTAAGAGAACCTTCCATTTTTATTTCAAAACTGCTAACAATACAATCCAGGGTCAGTTTGGGTAATCATACTTAGGAGAGTTTGATATTCCTTTCCTTTGATATGTCCTTTCTTGTCCTTGAACTCATCACATATTCCAGGAAGCCCTGATATATAAACCACAATTGGTTGGCTCCGTGCAACATGCTGGTGAACTTGTAGTGGAATCTAACAATTCTTAGCCAAATGGCAGATATGAGAACATACCTTAATGTTCACAAGGGTGATCTTTTTCAGAATCTCAGTTTCTCAGGATATAAATGGTTTGCGACAAAAATTCAGGATCTCAGTCTGTGCTTGCTACAAAGATTATCTTGACATTACAACTCCGTGGGAAAAAATTAGTTATTACCTTACTCCATTTTGTCTCCTTCTTAAACTCTGTACTTCTTTCGCTTCTTCTAGTTTTAAACTGGAGCAGAACCATAGAACGGAAATAATAATTAATAATCTGGAGCACCACTTGAACACTTGACTGATAAGTTTCATAAAAAATAAACAACAGAAACAAAAGGCCTCTTTTCCAACCTCGCCCCCCATCCCAATATTTCAAGCCCCCCACTGGCACCCACCGAACCTCCTCGGCCACCAGCTCATCCTCCTCTTCCTCCTCGGACTCGGCCTTCCTCCTGCGGAAAGTCTTCCCGGCCGGCATGACTGGAGATCTCCCACCTCCTCAAATCAATTTTGCTAAAAGGGGCTGCTACAGAGCTCTTCCTGTTTTGCAAGCTGGGGGCGCGCGTCGCGTGACGTCGACACCGCGCGACGAAGCCGCCCGCTGCGACTCTACTTGCCCTTAAAAGGTCAGGGCAGATACCATTAGATGTAGGAAAAGTATAGATAATGATACAAGGGAGAGATGAGAGTCTCCTTTTTTTTTAATCTGTATTTTTAATTTATTTTTCTCGACTGTGGGAAGCAGCCCCAATCTGCAGCAAGGCCACGATAGCGCTGTGCGTCACTGCATTCACACGGGGGAATAAATATCCTGCTTGCTATTGCCTGTATTAAATGCAGTTCCATCATATATAAAAGCAGGTGGGGACGGAAGATGCTCTGTCTGGGAAGCAATCTTGAGTGTCCTCTTTCTTAGCAACACAGGTAGTCTTCGAAGTACAAAAGTTCATTTAGTGACCATTCAAAGTTACAACAGAACGGGAAAAAATCGATTTATGACCGTTTTTCAGAGATACGACCCAAAGGGCGTCTTGCCTACTGTCTATAGTGGAATAGGAAAATTGGGGCTCCCAGAGGTCATCTTGCCCAAAATCTAGAGAGGAAGCAGAGTCTTTGGTCCCCCAGCGCGCATCCTGCCCATTGTCCAGGAAGCAACTGGAGTCCGTGGGGCATCCTGAGGGCATCTTGCCTGCTGTCTATAGGAGATTTGGGGTGGGTCTCCAGAGGTCATCTTGCTCACCGCTTAGAGAAGAAACGGAGTCCGTGGGGTACCCCGAGGGCATCTGGCCCGACCCCTCCTCTTCTGGACCGCCTGCTCTTCCGAGGCTCCGCCCCGCCCCGCCTCCTCCTCCGCGGCCCCGCCCCCGACACCATCGCCGTCGCCCGCTTCCCCCGAGCGGCGCGTCGCCCTCCGAGGCGGCCCCGGCCGGTAAGCATTGCCCCTCCCCGGTCGATCTCCGAGCCCCCCCGAGCCCCCCCAGGCCTCGCTTTGCCCCCCGGCCTAGTCCCCCGGCTCAGCGGGCGAGAAGGCGAGAAGGCAGGTTTTGCGGCCTAGCCTGCTCTGAAGCCCCGGCCTCGCCTAGCGCGCCCAGCCGAGGAAGGCTCGTCGGAGGCGGCCAGGCGAGCCTGAGCTTCCAGGGGAAGGGGGGGGCTCTGACAATACTGAGGAAACTGGGTAGGGGGAATCCCCTTAAGAGCTAAAAGGGTCTCAAGGCAGGACCCTTCCCCTAATCGACCTTGGTATTTTTAGAGATCCTGATGGTTTCAATGTTTTTTTATTGTTTTAGAATGTTTTTGTTATACATGTTTTCGAATTGTGAGCCGCCCAGAATCGTTTGTTGGGATAGGCAGCTATAGAGATCAAATAAATAAATGATGGGTAAAGTGGAGGGGGGGCTTCCCCATCTCCCCCCCCCATCAGAGCAGAATATTGCCTTCTCTTCCCCTGTCTGCATTCCCACGACTTCTTGGTCCAGCTCGCATTCGACCTGGGTTAGGTTGGGTGTCTCGTGTGTTATTAACTTAACGACTGCTGTGGCAAGAAAGGTCGTTAAAAAGGGGCAAAACTCATTTAACAACTGGCTGTCTTGCTTACCAACAGAAATGTTGGGCTTAATTGTGGTTGTAAGTCAAGGACCACCTGAAGTTTGTGTTCTGTTCAGGGAGGCCTCCCAAAGACCAGTGTTTTCATGAGGGAAAGGATCTTGGGAAGAAGGGGAAATGGCTCTTCCCTTTTCAGGATAGTGGTGAAAAACAGGGGAAAGAATGAAGCTGGCAGAAAAAAACGGCTGTGAACAGCTTCAGCTTTTGTGGGGAAAATGATGAGTAAGTCTCCATTGAAGCTGAAAGAAATAATTGGTTGCTAAGCCTCTGAACAACCACGTGAAGGCTTTGTTTTTATCCGTGCTAGGAACAACCAGTTGATGCTTTGGGGGGGGGGGGGCAATTTCCAGAAAACTCTTCTGGTTTATTTAATACAGCTTGGAAGGTGCCAGCATTGCAAACTTGAAAAGGGTGCCAAATTGAATGAGGAGGGCCAAAGTGGTTTTCCAAAACCAAACATTGTGAGTCAGGCAGCTGTATAAATCTGGCAGATGAACAAAATGCATCAAACTGGGAAACCATATTGGGGGAAAAAAAATTCACAGTATTCTAAATGTGGATCCAAGACCATACCTGGAATACTGAGTCCAGTTTTGGTCACCACATTATAAAAAGGATGCTGAGACTCTGGAAAGAGTGCAGAGAAGAGCAGCTAAGACGATTAGGGGGCTGGAGGCTGAAATACATGAAGGACAGTTGCAGGAATTGGGTATGAAGAGAAGGACGAGGGGGGACATGATAGTCACAGAGAAGAGGCAGGACAGGAAGCAACAGATGGAAACTCATCAAGGAGAGAAGCAACCTAGAATTAAGGAGAAACTTTCTGACAACGAGAACAATTAATCAGTGGAACAACCTGCCTCCAGAAGTTGTGGGTGTTCCAAAACTGGAGGTTTTAAAGAAGAGCTTGGACAACCATTTGTCTGTGATGGTATAAGGACTCCTGCCTTGTACAACAGGTTGGATTAGAAGACCTTCAAGGTCCCTCCCAGTCCTATGATTTTGTGATTTGTATACTACCCAGGGAGATGAGCAGTTTCAAAATTAGATAGATAGATAGATAGATAGATAGATAGATAGATGATTAGATAGATATTATAATATTAATAATAAAGTTGGAAGGGACCTTGGAGGTCATTGAGTCCAACCCCCTGCTCAGGCAGGAACCCTACACCATTTCAGACAAATGGCTGTCCAGTCTCTTCTTAAAAACTTCCAGTGTTGGAGCATTCACCGCTTCTGGAGGCAGGTTGTTCCATTGGTTAATTGTTCTATCAGGAAGTTTCTCTTTAGTTCTAAGTTGCTTCTCTCCTTGGTTAGTTTCCATCCGTTGCTTCTCGTCCTGCCTTCAGGCGCCTTGGAGAATAGCTTGACTCCCTTCTTGAGTTCTTTTTCTCTTCTATAATATTGATTTCTTTTTTAAGCTGCTCAGAAAGCATTGTGTTTGTGCCAAAGGACTGCCATATTGCATGTTGTGCAAGGCCGAAACAAACTGCAGTCCATTTAAAGCTTCTCGTGGCTGCTGTTTGACTGAGCCAGGCAAAGCAGAATAGGGGACATGCTGTGAACTGCATCTTAATTAGTATTTATCAGGCTGTCAGTGGGCCTCGATTGGTTAAGAGAAGGATTCAAGAGCCGGTGGAGCAGTATTATATTTTTATTGCATTTAGCCAAGAGCTTAGTAGCTGAAAAATCTAGCCCATAGCTGGAAAGCTGTGGGAATTCTTTCTAGCTCAGTAGATATGAAAGAACGTGTTCCTTCTGTTGTTTTGCTCCCTACACAGTACTCACACTGAATGAGAAAGAAAGGTGGAAAATCAGCTGCATTTAAAATCCACAAGAGAGAAGGGGGTATTGCAAGCAAGGTTGCAATTAATTTTTCATCCTGCATTTTCCCTTCATATAACTAGGTGACAGAAGGACTGCTGCAAATTTTTGTCATTTAGAATCCCTAATGCAGGTTTTTTCTGAACCTTAGCAACTTTAAAATATCTGAATTGGAATTCCCAGAATTCCCCAGCCAGCATGCTTTAAGATATATGGACTATGTGGGCTGGGAACTAAGAAGTTTAACACATCTTCAAGTGGCCAACATTGAGAAATATTGATTGAGAAAGAAAAGTGGAATTCTTCCTTTCCTACCAGACCTTCTGGGTGGTACTCATAATGTTTGTTTGTTTTTTTTAAAAAACCCTATTTGTAATTGTTTCTGTTTTCTTTTAAACCTTCAGTGCCTTGGGAAGGCAGAGTATTGATACTGGAATTGTAAATACTGTTCTGTTTATTTATTGGCTACATTTTTAGACTGCTGTTTTTTCCAAGGGCTCATGAATTATACAAATCACTTAACATTCGGAAGATTAAATATTTCAGTTGCCTTCTTGGAATCTAGTCATCTGCATCCTAAGGCAAAGAGGCAAATTTGAGACCCTTCTCTCTTCATTTTAGGCACGGATGGTGGGCTGAGCTGGCCTGGAAAAAAGAAGCTTGTTGTTTGTCCGAGCTCTTTCTCCCCTCCCTTTAGGGGAGCCCAGGCACAAAATGGGGGACCCAAGAGACCTCTGTCCTCACCTGGATTGCATAGGTGAGGTCACCAAGGACGACATGCTTTTCAAGTCCAAGGTAAGTGGCTCGGCCTGCAGCAACATTTATCCTTGCTGGCATATACAGGTGGTTCTCAACTTATTGTAGCTACGAACAGTCATTGAATGATTGTAAGTTGAGGACTCCCTGTACATTCTTGTTTAAATTTAACAAAAAAGAGGACACAAAACTAAAAATAGCAATCAAATAACGTGATTTCAAAATAACGCATTAGTCTAAATAAAACGTGCAGCCTATAAATGCATAATGACACCACTGCTTCTGTATTGCTTGGGGGGGGGAGAATGGGGGTGCCTGGGAAATCACCAGGAATCGTGTCAACATTTTTCATTTTTTCTTTTCTCCTCCCTGTAAATCTAGGGAACATGCCAGTCTTGCGGTGCGGGAGGACCAAATCTATGGGCCTGCCTTCAGGTAAGACACCCCCTCTTTGCAAAGGGGGGTGTTGTGTTCCTCCGCTTGTCAAGTCTGGTGAGTTACTGGACCTGGAAGAGTCCTTTGAGGCCATAAAGGCCGGATTTTCTGCCTGCCTTGCAAATGCAATGACTTCAGATTAAACTTGCTTCAGGTTAAATAGGCCCGTCTTCTTCCCTTAGGTCGGTTGCCATTACGTCGGTTGTGGGGAGTCCTTTGCGGATCACAGCACTTTGCACGCCCAGGTGAGCGGTTCGTTACCAGCTTCATCTGACTAAGTTGAGTAAATTGATTCCCTGATATTGAGACTCTGGAGAGAGTGCAGAAAAGAGCAACAAAGATGACTAGGGGACTGGAGGCTAAAGCATGTGAAGAACAGTTGCAGGAATTGGGTATGTCTAATTTCATGGAAAGAAGGACTAGGGGAGACATGATAGCAGTTTTCCAATATCTGAGGGGCTGCCACAAAAAAGGGGGAGGGGTTCAACCTGTTCTCCAAAGCGCCTGAAGGCAGGACAAGAAGCAACGGATGGAAACTTACCAAAGAGTGATCCAACCTAGAATTAAGGAGAAATTTCCTGACAGAACAATTAATCAGTGGGACTCCTTGCCTCCAGAAGTTGTGGAATTCTCCAGCACTGGAAGTTTTTAAGAAGAGATTGGGCAACCATTTGTCTGAAAGGGTATAGGCTTTCCTGCTTGAGCAGGGGGTTGGACTAGAAGACCTCCAAGGTCCCTTCCAATTCCATTAATCTGTAGTCTGTAAGTTGGTGAAGTCTGTGAGTCACAAACCCTCATTGCTATTTTGGTCTTTTTTTCCTTTTCCCCCCACCAGACCAAAAAGCACAATTTGACGGTGAACCTGACTACCTTTCGGGTGTGGTGCTACACGTGCGAGAAGGAGGTGTTCTTGGACCAACATCTGGCTTCCCATCCTGCCAATCTGCCTTCCAAATTTATGGAACAGGTAGTGGGGTAGTTTTTTTGGATTGTGCTGCCTTCGTTCCCCCCTTTTTTTCTTGGTTGAAGAACGTGAAAGAGTTCCGAGCTTTTTGGGCTCTTGAGGTTTACATCGATGCTTAAAGATGGTCATGCTGAGCACCACTGCCTCCAGTTTTGGTCCTCCTAACAACAACCCTTGAGGTAGGCAGAGCTGAGAGGGTCCCCCTGTCTCCCCCAGTCACCCACTGAACCGCTGTACTGAGAGCCCAGGTAGTCCTCGACTTATAACTGTAATTGAACCCAGCCTTTCTGTTGCTAAGCGAGAATTTGTTAAGTAGGTTTTGCCCCACTTTACGGCCTTCCTTGCCGCAGTGAATCACTGCAATTGTTAACTTAGTGACCCGGTTATTAAGTGAATCTGGCTTTTCCCATTCCTGCTCCAGGATGCTCTCCCGCCTGTCCATCCGCTCAAAGCTGTCCCGATCGCCGTCGCTGACGAAGGAGAATCGGAATCGGAAGACGACGACCTGAAACCAAGAGGTGAGCCGGATGGCGTTCCTTCTCCCTGGGGGGGGGGGGTGGCAAATGGGTTACTGGGGGTGTCAAGAGCTTCACACATTGACTTCCCGCCCCGTTAGGCCTTACGGGAATGAAAAACCTGGGGAATTCATGTTACATGAACGCTGCTCTCCAGGCTCTCTCCAACTGGTAGGTGGCAGAACTGAAAGGCCTCGTTGAGGTCTGGGATGCTGGACCAAAACCGAAGGTCTCTATCAAGGGCGGGAAATCGGGAAATTCAGGCAGATCAAATGAATAGACAGCTTTATTGCCTCCGTTTTAGCCCCCCACTCACCCAGTTCTTCCTTGAATGCGGGGGCCTCGTGAGAACCGACAAGAAGCCGGCACTCTGCAAAAGTTACCAGAAGCTGATCTCCGAAGTGTGGCACAAAAAACGGTGAGTTGGCTGAGGAGAGCCCCGTTTGTGAGATGTAAAGCAAAATTTTAGCATTGGCGGGTGGGTGGAAAATAAAAAATACAATTGTTACGGTTTGTCCTCCCTTCTTCCTAGCCCGAGCTACGTTGTCCCCAGCAGCCTCTCCCACAGCATCAAGCTGATCAACCCCATGTTCCGGGGCTACGCGCAACAGGTGAGCACGTTCCCGCTGCTGAGGTAGGTGGGAATGACCTGGGGTCTCTTTCCTGCCATTGTTACAAAGCCGGAGACCCTCTAATAAAGGACGGAGGTCGTTGCAGGACACCCTGAGGAAGGATCGCTTGTGGATTTGGTCCCGGAGAAATGGAAAGAGTCTCCTGCTTTGCTCTTCTTTCCATCCCATCTTAGGACACCCAGGAATTTCTCCGCTGCCTGATGGACCAACTTCACGAAGAGCTGAAGGAGCCGGTGGTGGCCGAGCTGCGCGACTCGGACGCAAGCGACACGGACGAGAAGAGGGAGGGGGACCGCAGCCCCTCGGAGGACGAGTTCCTCTCCTGCGACTCGAGCAGTGACCGCGGAGAAGGGGACGGGCAGGGCAAAACGGGCTCGGCCGAAGCGGAGCTGCTGATCCAGGACGAGGCGGGCCGGAACATCTCTCAGAAGGAACGGATGAAGGATCGGAAGTTCTCCTGCCACCAACGGCGGAGCAACTCGGAGCAAGTGGACGAAGATGCTGACGTCGACACCTCGGTGATGGCGGTGGAAGGCGGGGCTTCTCCGGAAGGGCTCCTGCCGCCCCCTCCTCGACCTGCCAGCCCTGCGAGGACCCCAGGTAGGGCCCAGAGGGAGTGTAGGGCTCCCCTGCTGCCTCGTGGACGTGGAAAATTGGTCTCTGGACCGTGTGAGCTTTGCGATCTCCCGAGGCCGCCTTTTTTTTTCCCTTTTAGAAATAGTTGGGGTGAACTAGGAGGGAAGAAAGAAGAAGCAGGAAAGGGGCGGCCGTCGTTCCTGTTTCTAAGAAAGCTCTTGGGGGTGTAGGATCGCTCACTAGGGCCAAGAGGCTTGTGCTGATTGGCCAGAGCAGTTTGGCAGACTTGTTGGGAGGAGGTTATATATACCACCTCCATTTTGGGAGAGCTGGATTGGAAGTTCCCTATGGATCTGCTGTTCTAGACCTTCTCTTCTTCCCTTCTCTCTCCCCATCCAGCCATCCCTTTCTCATTTATCTTCCTTCTTTCCCCCTTTCCCATTTTCCTTCTTCCTTCCTTCCTTCCTTCCTTCCTTCCTTCCTTCTCTTTTCCCATGTTTCTTCCTCCCTCTCTCCCTCCATCTCCTTGTCCTCCCTCCCTCCTTTATTATTTATCTTCCTTCTCCTTTTTTCCTTTCCCATCTCCTCCCCTCTTCTCTTTTCATCTTCTCCTGCCTTCTTTTTTATCTTCTCCCACTTCTCCTTCTCCTCTCTGCATTTTTAAGCCACTCAAACTCGCCTTATAAAGGAGGTGGGAAACATAAAAATTTAATCAGTAAATAAAATAAAATCTCATCATTCCCAGAACCAGATAATGACGCCTACCCTCATTGCTCGTCGCGGCCCTGCAGCCCTGTCCACCATGATATGTACGCCAAACTTTCAAATCCTCCTCATTCCAGCCCTGTGAGGCTGGGAGCCTCCTACGTGCTGAAGAAAGGTAGGACGAGATGGTTTCCTGTGTGATGTGCTTCTCTGAGTCCTCGCTGAGCGCCCCTGGTTTTACGACCATGGCTGCTGGAAGCTGTTAAGTGAATTTAGCTTCCATGTTGACTGGGAATCTGAAGGACCTGGGGTAGGCCGATATTCTTTGATGGAGTTACAGGCATCCAAGCGAAGCTGCCTTTTGCAATTGACTGATGGGGATTTTGGTCAATGCCAGTGGTGTTAGGAGCCCTGGTGGTGCAATAGCCAGAATGCAGGGTTGCAGGCTAACTCTGCTAATTGCCAGCAGTTCAATCCTGACCGGCTCAAGGTTGACTCAGCTGTCCATCCTTCCGAGGTCGGTAAAATGAGGACCCAGATGGTTGAGGACCAGATGATGACTCTGTAAACTGCTTAGAGAGGGCTGTAAAGCACTGTGAAGCGGTATATAAGCCTACTGTTGCTATTGGTGTGCAAGTGGTGCTCCAGATATTTTGCAAATGCACCCAGGTGCCTATTGCCGTTGGTCCTATCTTCCTTCTGTGTTTATTTGCCTCCTCCTCCAGCTCAGCTGTTGACGGCTGGAAAAAGGAAGAAAGAGTTGCGCTACCGTAGCGTCATCTCTGACATCTTTGACGGCTCCATTCTCAGCCTCGTCCAGTGCCTCACCTGTGACCGAGTGAGTTTTCTTGGAAAGAAGCCGGCCCTTTTCCACACCCTCCCCTTCAGCTGTGGCTGCCCGTCACGCCAGAGTTCAGCCACCAGGAGAGGGGTTTTTCTTAGTGTTTGGTATAGGAATGATGGGCCCAGGCAGGAGCTTAACTTTCTTGCAAGATTCAGTCTGGTAGGTCACTGTTCAGCCTTCTGAGCTTTTGGACTCGTGTTGGAGCCCGTCTTCAGGGAATTTCTCTTTATTGGAATGTGTGCTTTAGGCTCTTCTGTGGGTTGTATATATGGTGCCTTCCTATTGATTTATTGGTGTGTTGATGGCCAGTGATGGGCTATTGTCCCCTTGTGCTGCCAAGTACCTGATAGGCTGGTGCTAAACCAGCCCGTTTCCCAGGCTTCGATCATTTTTCCTGCTGTTTTTGTACCTGCTCCGCCAGCAATCTTAGTAGCTGTGAAATCGAATGTACTTCCTTCTTCATTAACTTTCATTTTATTTTGCTTACTTTCCTCTCTCTTCCTTTGATGCCTTTCCAGGTTTCCACCACTGTAGAGACCTTCCAGGATCTGTCGCTACCGATTCCCGGGAAGGAAGACTTGGCTAAACTGCATTCGGCCATTTACCAAAATGTGCCAGTCAAGGCAGGAGCCTGCGGTGACAACTATGCCGCCTCGCAGGGCTGGATCGCCTTCATCATGGACTACATTCGCAGGTCTGTGGTTCAGACATCGGCGCTGTGCTGTTACTGCTGTGTTTCTCAATCTTTAGCCACCTTCAGGGGTGTGGACTTCAACTCCCAGAATTCCCCTCTTGAAGTCCACACCTCTGAAGGTGGCTAAAGGTTGAGAAACATTGCTCTACTCTAGTCCTCAACTTAGCAACCATTCATTTAGTGACCATTCAAAGTTACAGTGGCACCGTTGCAGCATCCCTGTGGTCATGTGATCAATATTTGGATGGAGAAGTGAGGCTCAGAATGATTCATTCCCCAGGGGTAGTTTTCCAGGAGCCCTAAGTACAAATCCACATGGTGATTACAAGCAGGGCGTCAGGTCCAGAAGGACTCACACGCCTGTCTCCTTGTCTTCCCCAGGTTTGTGGTGTCCTGTATCCCCAGCTGGTTTTGGGGCCCCGTCGTCACCCTGGAAGACTGCCTGGCTGCCTTTTTCGCTGCAGACGAGTTGAAAGGTGTGTTGGCAGGGAGAAAGGCGGCCCCCACACCCAGGCTCTTGAAAGAGAGGCTAGTATGATGGCACGGGTCCCCCTCAATTTACAGCCATTTGCTTAGTGACTGTTAGACTGAGAAAAATGACTTATATAACCACTTCTCACACTTGTAACTGTCACAGCATCCGTGGGGTCATGTGATCAAAACTCGGGTGCTTGGTACCAGCATGTATTTACGACGGTTGCAACGTCCCAGGGTCACGTGATCACCCTTTGCCACCTTCCCAGCCAGTTTCTGACACAAACCAAGTCAACCTTGCATAGGGAGGGGAGAGAGAGAGAGAGACAGAGGGAGGGAGAGGTTTCACTGTCCATTTGAGGAGCAGCCTAACAATGCTTGTCTTCATCTTGTTTCTCTTCTAGGTGACAACATGTACAGCTGTGAAAGATGTAAAAAGTAAGTCCCTTTTCCCACCCTCCGTTTTCCCCCTCCCAGATATTTTCCTTGCTCACTCCCAAAACTCAGCATCTGGGTGGGAGAATAAAATTGGGAGCAGCCCAGAAGTGGCTCAAGGAAAGCTGGCTGGGGATTCTGGGAGTTGAAGTCTAGACATCTTAAAAGCGGCTATGTTTGAGAAACGCTGAACCAGTCCTTTTTTTTCCTCCTCCTCCTCCTCCTCCTCCTCCTCCAGGTTGCGGAACGGAATCAAGTACTGCAAAGTGCTCCAGCTGCCGGAGGTGAGCGGTTTCCCTTTGCCTGGTTTTGCCAACAAGGAGGGAGAGAAGGAGGGAGGAAGATGAGAAAGAGAGAGGGAGAGAGGGAGGAAAGAAGAAAGGAAGCGATGTTTTAGACCGAAGTCCTTCCTTGCTCTCCTGCAGGGTTTAATGGTGACTTTTCCACAAGAGCAGCTGATGGGTCATGATCTCTGCAGACGTATTTCAAACGGTTTCTCCCCCCCCCCACTCCCAGGTCCTCTGCATCCATCTAAAGCGCTTCCGGCACGAAGTCATGTACTCCTTCAAAATCAACAGCCACGTTTCCTTCCCTCTGGAAGGCCTGGACCTGCGGCCCTTCCTGGCCAAGGAGAGCCTCTCCAAAGTCACTAGTTACGACCTCCTCTCGGTGATTTGCCACCACGGCACAGCCGGCAGTAAGTCGCCCGCCTGCCTGTCCCCGATTCCTCTGAACGGATTCCGGAAGTGGGCCGCGGGCTCCGGACCCCACCAAATGCTCGGCCTCTCGCTCCCAGGTGGACATTACATTGCCTACTGCCAGAACATGATCAACGGCCAGTGGTACGAATTCGACGACCAGTACGTGACCGAAGTGCACGAAACAATCGTGCAGAACGCCGAGGCTTACGTCTTGTTCTACAGGTGGGGATAACCCTGTGCAGGTAGTTCTCAACTTACGACCACAGTTGAGCCCACCAACACACCGCCTCCGGCTGATTGGCCCAAAGTCACCCAGGCAGCTTTCATGGCTCAGGCGGGACTAGAACTCACTGTCTCCTGGTGATTGGATTAAAGTTATCCAACTGGCTTTCCTGCCTAAGGCGGGACTAGAATTCACCGTCTCCTGGTGATTGGCCCAAAGTCACCCAGCCCCCTAAGGTGGGACTAGAACTCACCGTCTCCTGGTGATTGGCCCAAAGTCACCCAGCCGGCTTTCATGCTGAAGTCGGGACTAGAACTCGCCGTCTCCCACTTTCTAGCTTGGTACCTTTCCCACCAGACCCAACCGCTCCACTCTTCCTCTTTTTCTCTTCTTTCTTTCGAACCGCCCTGCAGAAAAAGCAGCGAGGAGGCTGTCCGGGAGCGCCAGAAAGTCGTCTCTTTGGCCACCATGAAGGAGCCCGGCCTGCTGCAGTTTTACATCTCCCGGGAATGGCTGAACAAGTTCAACACCTTCACGGAGCCCGGACCCATCAGCAACCACATCTTCCTCTGCCCCCACGGAGGTGAGGGGCGCTGCGGGTCGCTCTCCTTTTAGAACAGCATTTGGGGCTTTTCTTGGGATTGGGAGACATCGGGGAGTTCCTTAGACCTTTTTTTTTTTCGAAATACAGGTAAGTCCTCCACTTACCCCCCCCCCCATGATTGAGCCCAAAATTTCTGTTGTTAAGTGAATCTGGCTTCTCCATTGACTTTACTTGTTCGAAGGTCGCAAAAAGGGATCATACGATCCCAGGATGCTGCAGCCGTCGTAAATGCAAGCCGGTTGCCCAGATTATGATCACACAACCGTGGGGGACGCTGCAATGAGTGCGAAGACTGATTAAAAGTCACTTTTTTCACTTCTGTCATAACTTCAAGCGGTCTCATTCTGAACTCTGTTTATCTTTCTCCATAGGAATTCCACCGAATAAATACCATTATATTGATGATCTGGTGGTAATTCTTCCCCAGAATGTTTGGGAATACCTGTATAACAGGTAAGGAGTTTTGTCTCCCAGCGTTTCAGCCACTGTTGGAGTTACTGTTCTTTCCTCTTGGTCTCCTGTCCATCCCAAAGAAAACCATTTGCAGGAGAAACACAGGGCTGCCCCCCTTCCTTCCTTTTAAGAACTGGTAGCTGTGCTTCTGTGTTATTGGGCATATTAGATATTTATGGTTGCCTCACACGAGTTAGAATAGAAATGGAAGGAGAGCAGAGTAGAAGAAATAGAATAGACTAAAAGGATGAGTAGAAGGGAAGGAAAATGCACCTGGTCAGTCCAGAGTACAGCAGCTCTGTGGGGCTTCAGTTCCAGGGCGCAAGATGCAATGTGGTTTCATTTTGTGCTCAGGTTTGGGGGCGGCCCAGCCGTCAATCACCTCTACGTCTGCTCGGTGTGCCAGGTAGAGATTGAAGCTCTGGCTAAGCGGAGAAAGATGGAGATTGACACCTTTATCAAGGTAACATCTCCAGGGCTGGCCTGGTGGGGTAGGGAGCCTAATGGTGGGTCAAAGGGGAGGGCCCACCTGGGTTTGCAGAAGGGCTCCCCAATTTAAAAGAGAATTGGGAAGTTGGAAAGAGGGATCTGGAACATAACAGTTTCAGGAATTGGGTATGGCTAGTCCAGAGAAAAGAAGGACTAGGGGAGACATGACAGCAGTCTTCCAGTAAGAAGAAGGGATCAACTTATTTTCCAAAGCACCTGAAGGCAAGACGAGAAACAACGGATAGAAACTCATCAAGGAGAGAAGCAACCTGGAAATAAGGAGAAATTGCCTGAAAGTGAGAACAATTAACCAATGGAATGGCTTGCCACCAGAAGTTGTGGGTGCTTTATCCCTGGAGATTTTTAACTGGAGAGCCCCTTGTCTGAAATGGTACAGGGTCTCCTGTTTGAGCAGGGATCTCCAAGATCCCTTCCAGCTCTATTCTGATTAATTTGACCTCCTCGGAGCCTCCCAGCCTGACCTCTGCCCCTTCGCCCCCCCAGCTGAACAAAGCCTTCCAGGCCGAGGAGTGCCCGAGCGTCATCTTTTGCATCAGCATGCAGTGGTTCCGCGAATGGGAGGCCTTCGTCAAAGGGAAGGACAACGGTCAGTTTGGGGAGAGGCTGACCAGGCGGTGGTGGCGACGGGGAGCCCCAAAGATTCGGACCAGCCGCTTCCCTGCCTGCCCAGTTGCCCGATTGAACTGGCAGGACGAAAGCCGGGCACCTAAGGCGGGTCTAGAACTCACACCGTCTCCCTGTTTCTAGCCTGATGCTTTAACCGCTATTGCTTAGTGCTCCGAGATTTGAAAATGCTGTCCAGAGGTGGGACTTCAACTCCCAGAATCCCCTTTGGTCAGTCTTGCAAGCCCTGGGATTCGAAGTTTCCCTGAAACAACTCTTGCTGAACATCATAACCGGGAGAGTTATAAACCCAAAACCAAGCCAAAAGGAACCAGTAATCAGTTTTATTAAACACTTCAAAAAAAATTTTTTTTAAAAAAAGCAAAGGAGCCAGTGTTTTATTAAAGGAACCAGTTTTATTAAATGCTTCAAGATCATTTTAAAAACCACTATAAGCCCCTTTTTAAAAAGGCCCCTCAGTTTCCGTGCGTAGCTTCAGCCTCTGCTGAGGGGGTCGGCTGGGAGCGTGGCAGCCCCCTCAGTCCAGACCACACCCAGAGTGGGAGGCTGCCCTCAACGCTACACAATCGGACTCACAAGCCCTGTTTCCTTTCCTGCAGAGCCCCCTGGCCCGATCGACAACACCAAAATTGCCGTGGCCAAAGGAAGCGGCCACATGCAAGTCAAGCAGGGTAAGGAACAGGGAAACCGGCTTTGCCGTCGCGCCAGACTCCGCCGGGCCTTGGTTCAGATGTTGCCCCAAATCTCTCCTGACGGGCTCTCCTGCCTTTTCCAGGAGCCGATTACGGGCAGATCTCGGAGGAGACTTGGATCTACTTGAGCACGCTCTACGGCGGAGGCCCCGAGATCGCCATCCGGCAAAATGTGGCCCACGTGCAGGAGGTAGGAAGCCTCCATGGGGAGCAGAAGATCGAAGCTGAGACCAGAGCAGCATAAGACGATGGGGACGTTCAGGTGAGGGTCCTGGAGAGCCCAAAGGGGACGTTCAGTCCTCCAGTGGTGGTCTTTGTCTCCTGCCTTTGGTTGTTTTGACCACGGGGGGGGGTCATAAAAGGGCCCTTTTTTCGGTCCCTGTGGCTATGGGGACATTCGGCCCTTGGCAACGGGCTCACTTTCCTCCTGAGAAGGAAAGTCAACAGGAAGCAGATTCACTTATTCATTTTAACCACTGCAATGATTCCGCTTGCAAGACAGGCCGTAAAACGGGGCAGAGCTCACTTAACGAATGTTTCACTTAGCAGCAGAAACGTCGGGCTCCCTGCGGTGGTCGTAAGCCGAGGACTACCTGTATTAACGATTCCTGGCTTCTCCATCCTTCCTTTCCTTAGGTTGGCTCCCCCTTCAGACTCCTCCTGCGTTTTGGAACTCGACACACGTCCCACCCCCTGCCCTGTCCCCAGCCAGCCACTTGGGGCCCCCCCCACCCCCGTCTTTGGTCGCTCTTCCGCCAGGGCCCAAGAGCATCTCGACTGCCTGTTTTTGTCCCACGATTGTCCCGTTCCAGGCACGGAAGAGCTGCCTGGCTTTGGTTCCCTGCTTTCTCATCCCATCGTCTGCAGAAGCCGGGAAGGGTCCTTGCGGAGAAGTTGGGGTCGCCTTTGGAAGGAGCCGGCATCGTAACCATTCCCGTTTGCCACTCAGCTGGCCTTTTGTGACTCGAGCTGTTCTTGGAGAAAGTCCCAAGAAGGGGTGCACCATTGTCTTGGTTCTCGTTTTGGTTCCTCTCCTGAATTTGGGGCCCGAGATTTTGAAGTCGCCTGCAAAGAACCTCATTGGAAAGGAATACGTGGGGCGACAAGGTTCCCCCCCCCTCTTCCCTTTTGTGGCATTACAAAATATATTCCTTCTCCCGTACTGATGAAAAAGGGTCTTCAGAGAGTTGGGTGCAGCCCCCGATTCCCTTCTATTTATCTATTTATTTTCAAGGAATGGATTGTCCTTGATTCTTCTCCTCTCTGTCACCCAAGTATTTCCCAGCACAAGCTGGCAACATTGGTACGCCTAAAACCAAGCGTGGGCCTCAAGCCACATCGACAAACAGGCTTGAATTTCCACCCAGTGGTTCCTTGCACACCCAAATGCTACAGAAATCTCAAAAAATGTGACAACGAAGTAAGGGAACTCTCTACATCTGTGCGCTGAAAAGAGGTTGAACAGGTCCCAGAAGGAGGAAACGAGGGCCCCCATTCTCTGTGCATCGATGCTGACCTTCACTTCGAATTCCTGCAAAATTTCCTTGGGGGATTTATGACTTTCTCATCCACCTGCGTGATGCTTAGGGCAAGATGGAGCTAAGAGAGTTCCCCCCACCCAAAGCAAACAGGCAATCCCACTTTGGACGTGAACTAAGAGCTGGCTTCTTGCACGTCTCCGCTTTTCGCCATTTCAACAGAGGCCCGGATGCTAATCCTCAAGAGAGCAGAGATTCTTGCTGTCCTAGCGATGTATCACTCTGCAGCTGTCTCGCACACCGACATACAACCTCACTTTTTGACCCAGGTGGGAAGGGCATTACCCTTAAGAAGGCAGTTTATTATTATTATTATTATTATTTCCTGGACCAAGGAGTGGTAGCACCGCCGGAGGAAGAGATGCAGAATGAAACGTGGACTCGGGAGAAGCTGCTTTGAAGGCGAGAGGTCGATGGCAAAGGCTGGGTTACCAAAAAGAGGTCCTGGCCTCTACCTACTGGATGCCACCTGTCCTTGCTGTGTCTTCCTTCCCACAGTCCTTCTGGGGCAGCCCTGTTTTGCATTGTCCTGCGTGGATCCACTTTGGGGAGACTGGGACCTTGGATGCTTCATCCATTGGTGTTTTTTTTCCCCTGCCAAAAACAGCCAATAAAACTCGCTCACGTTCAAAAGCCGTGTCAAAGTTGCTTTGCTTTGATCTGAGCGGGCTGGGCTGCTTCACTGTGGTAAAAAAGGCTGTTAAAATGGGGCAAAACTCCCTTGCTTAGCAACTTAAATTTGGGGCTGAGTTGTGCTCGTAAGTCGAGGACTGCCTGTACTTGACAAATAAGATCTTCGCTGGTAGCTTTGCAACAGCCTCCCGATGCTTCTAAACTTGAGTTAAAATTGAGGTTTGAGAGCTAACTGCCCCCCTGGTCCCTTATATTTGGGGGGGAAATTGGTCTCTTTCTCCAGATTGTCCACTGTCACTTGTCTTTCATCTCTCTTTTAAAAAAAAACTTTCCAAAGCAGCTGTTCTGAGCTCTGCTTGGTGTCACAGTTTTCCTCTTGGGGTTAATAATTCATGGCTGCCTGGGGTGCTTTTTTTTTTTTTTTTTTTTAAAAACCAATCCTTCCTGGTGGCCTGACAAAATTGCACACACACACACCACCAGACACACATACACGCTCTGCTATTTTTGGTAGGAAGCCCAGCCAACTGCAACAGGAGAAGGTGAAAAGTGATCTTCTCTGCTTAGGGACCTTTTGCTCCAGCCAGAGTATCAAGCAAGTCCTCGGCTGAGACAACTAGCAAAGGATCCACTTGCCCTTGTGTTGACTGATTAACAACAGATTCCCCCTCTGTCCCGCCTTCTCCAGTCTGGAAATTCTTCCAGGCTCATATTGCATGTCTTAAACCAAACGAATTTGCAGACAGCTCTGCCTGCTCTGCAAACCAGAGGCACTGCTTTAAAAACTTTTAAAAATAGAAAATAGAGGCTTAGCTGTCAAACCGACATTTTGTTCTGTTTCTTTAGGTCCACTCCTCCCTTTCTGGGAGGGAGGGAGGAATGGAAGGAAGGGAGAAGGAGGGAGGGAGGAAAGGAAGGAAGGAGGGAGAGAGGAAGGAAGGAAAGAAATTAAGAAAAAAAGAATGCAGCCAAGACTGGCTGCAGTGATTCACCAAAATAAGGCAAGACTCATTTCATCATCATAGCAATGGAAATTCTCGTAAGTCAAGGACTGTGTGTTCTGTTGCAAGCATGTAGGTGCAAAATTGGTAATTGTCCCCCCTCCCTTTCTACATTTCTAATAAACCCATCCCAATGTGCAGCAATCATAGTTCAAGTCTGCGCTCGCTTTCAAATGGAAGCACTTTATTTGATTGAATTCTGTTGCCAGAAATAAAATGAGTCAAAACACTAGAACTCGGATTTCCTTTACACCTTTTTTCAGCTAGGAAAATCATACATACACAGAGACATTTAAGTTGCCACCAAAAACCTACATAAAAAGAATCCAGTGCCTAAATACACAGAAGTAAACCATTAAAAAAATGAAAACGAAACAAAAAGTGCTTGACATTTCATGTTAAAATATAATTTGGCGGGTTTTTTTTCTTTTTAAACCTTTTTGACACTTCAAGCATGAGAAGGAGGGATGGGGAGTACACAGAACTTTTGAAAAATACTCAGCATTAAAACACAGTTTTTCAGTAAATATTTTTTTTCTCTCTTGTCTATTTACAGATGGTAAGAAAGGGCGTTAGCAAGAGTAGAGGATGAGTTGAGAGGCCAGGATAATCTGTCTTTTTAGTCTGATCCTAACCAGGAAAAACTTTTTAGGAACTGTTGGTGTTACTTGTCTACTTCAAATTCATACCTCTAAGGCCCTGCATTAAAATTTCATGCATGCTTTTTAAGCATAGATGAAACTTTTCAAATATATATATTCTAACATAGGGGGTTATCTGGGGTTCTGGGGTCGAGGGACAATATTCTGAAATAGATTTTTTGAAAAAAATTATCTTAAATTTATTATGCCATTTGTATGAAAGTTCCAAGTCTTCCAAATCAAAACATACATTGGGACTCAAAACTACAGCTTTTTTGGCACCATGATTTCCTAAAGTATTTCTCCCCCCCCCCCCAGCCATCTTGGGTAGGCGTATGGTTAAGCCTTGGGAAGCCAAATCCCCTGTAAAACAGGCAACCCAAAAAATAATTGAATTAAAATTAAGGGCAGATAACAATTCTCTGTCCTTAACATTTTTTTTTTCTCTACTGTTGCATGAAAAATAAGCATTTCAAAGAAAATGGGTCTTAGGCATTTGCTCTATTCCAGGGTTGAAAAATGAAAGAACTGATAAATTTCCCATCCTCTACGTCTTAAACTCATCCACTTCTCTCTTTCTTTTTTTCCAAATTAAACCCATGTCATATCAAGGTTTGCAGAAATATTAAGCTAGACAGATAAACTATTTGGCGGGTCCTTCCCTAATATAATGATGGCACAGCTCATTTTTATTTTTTTTTCAGTCTTTGCACCTGAATAAAAAAAGGAGATTGAACCCATGCATCAATTGTAATCTTGGTTTGTGGAAAACAAACTACAGTTGGGTATATCTTTCTCCGCGTGGACATTCCTGGTCAGGAATAGTCTAGTGAGATCTTAGATTCAGTGGTGCATCAAACATGATGCTTACAAAAAGCATTTTTTAATTTTATTTTTCTGGGGGAAAAGCGAAGTTGCTCCCAAAAAAGGATCAAAAGAGAGCAGAGAGAGAGATCTTTTCTGAGGACAACAGATTTGGGAAAGGAGAAGAAAATGGGATTTTTAAACTAAAGCAGGATGTTTATTTTGGGAAGTCCCTCAATTTAATTTTGCGCCAATGACTCAGCCACTGTCCCAAGCTGCAGTTTCCTAAATCGAGTAGCAAATAGGCAGCTCTCTTGCCAAATCGTGCTGAAACTTATTTTTTTTTATTTTTTGCTTTGGACTTCCTCAAACTCTCCCTGGAAACTTTCTGGAAGGCTAGCCTGCCTTCTGCTTGAGGAAGGTTTGGGGGTCAGCCTGGCCCACCAGGGTAACAATTTTGAAAAAAAAAAGCCCCTTCCCTGAATTTTCCATGCCCATCCCAAACAGGCAGGTACACAAATATGCTGCAGTTGACAGCTTATTTGCAGCAAAGGCCCCCCTCCCCAGCCTCTGATCCTCACAATTAGACTATTCCCAAGAGTGGAGGCTCAATTTATTTTCTTGGGCTTTTGGTCTCCCAATCATCAGCCAACCCAGGCTGGCAATTCCTAGAGTTGTTCCTAGCTCGCTGAGGTTTGTAGCAGTCAAGTTTTACTTTTCTTTCACCAGGATATTTTAATGGTGAGGAGATGGAAGGAGTTATAATGGTGCAATTATATCCACAAATGGATACTGATAGTCCACTCGTATTAAACTGCTGATCTGGAGAGTATTTCCAGTGTCTACTTCAGCTTCCAACTCTTCACTTCCTTGCTTATGACCTTCTTCACTGAAAAAATGTCGGGAAAACTCAAGTTTTCTTGGCGATGCGTTACCTAGGCAGGGAATCCTTCAAAAATTCCTTGAAAATCAGTTCCAGCAAGTCCTTTTCACTTCTTTGGATGGAGAAACGAGATCTGACTCTCCCGTTCTTGGAGAGATTGCTCCGTCTTTCAAATCTAGGCTGCAGGCACAGCTCGTTGAAGCTGCAATCCGGAGCTACCCCAGTCCCCTTTTGGCTCCCCAAACTGCAGAGGCTCCTGAGAAGAGGCGAGTTCAAAACCGGCAGTCTCTCGAACTCGGCACAGTAATAGCCTTCTTAGTGAATCTGCGACAAGGCTCCAGTTTTGGGAAGGATCGTAGATCTTTGGGGATGCTGAGCACGCCCGCCACTTTGATTTGACGGCGCAGCCCCCAAAATGGAACTAAAAACTGGGATGGAACTTGAGAGCAGGCAGGAGCTGAGAAGGGCGGGAATCACAGTGACATTTGGCTGGATGGATCACAGAATCCAAGGGCTGGAAGGGGGACCTTGGAGGTCTTCTATTCCAGCCCATTGCCCAGGCAGGAGAGTCCACAAGCAGGATGGAGTTGGGAAAAGCTGAAATAAATAAACACGGGAGTGGACGTGCAAGAAAAGGAAAGTGGATTTAGAGAGGCGCCATGCAAAATAATTTAATAAATTAAAAGGGCAGGAGAAGGCGACCCGGGTGACGCAGAGAGGGCAGAACAGTGGACAAACAAGCCGAGAGGAGAAAAAAACCAAGACTGACATGAATGATGTTGGTTAGCTAAAAGAATGTTGGTGAAATAAAAGTTAATGCAGGTGGGCAGACAGATCCCTGGGGAGCTGAGCAAGGTTTTGGGTTGGTGCCCGTTTTCCTGGCCTTTCCTCCCAAAATTCATCAGGCAAACATCTGGCCTGGCTTGAGAGTTCTGGGAGTTGAAGTCCACCTGCTCTTCAAGCCACTGAGGTTGACCCCGGTGGAAAAAAAAATCCCTAATTCTTTCTAAGAGATCTGTAGGATGAAAGGGATCCATTATCCCATGGCACTTCCTAGAATGGAAATCTGAATTCCTGCCTGCAGGAGAGCTGGAGACCCCGTCATGGATTTTTTTTTAGCATAGGTGAGCCATGGAACCGAAGTCCTGGTGAACACCAAGGCTATCAAAAGACACCTCTGATTTGACCATCTTAGCAGCCTAAAACCAGGACCTCTGAACCGCTTTCTGCAGGTTCTGTGGAACTGCTTGAACCCAGGACCAAAACAGGGTGTTTCTGAACATGAGTAGCTTGGTCTGGGCAAGGCACGCTTTTGGCTCACCATGAATGGCCAAACTCTGCAGCTTCATTTATACATCACGCTAACACTGTGCTTCAATATGCCTTAGTCTAAACCCTGATAGAAGCCTGTTCTCCTTCCGATGAGCCTCCTCTGGATCTTGATGTGATGGACAGATGGAGTGAGTGCAGTGCAGAGACAGGAGAAATGGGGTCCTCCCACCACACCATGGTGTGGGTCACACCAAACACAACCACTCACCCAGCTGGAGGGGAACGTCCTTTGCATTCTTCTCCAGTCTTGGGTCCTCAAGGAGGACCATACAGGCTAGCCTAACCAATGGGGATGGAAGTGATCTCCTCAATGTGGCCAAGAGGTCCTACAGACTCCTAATAGGAAACATTTCCATCTTCTGCTCTAAGCAGAATCCTTCCAATTCCTCCATTTTCTTCTCAAGCAATCACAACAGGGTGCAAAGCCACACACACACGCACCCAAGCTGAAGACTATTAGGTAGATCTGCTAGATTAAAACAAAAATTATTTCAGCCTTAGGCCCTAGAATTAGCTGTGGACCCAACGTACAATTTCAGACTTCATTGCGAATTCAAATTTCTATCTAGTAGTGAGACCATCCATCTAATAATACCTTGGTTTTGAAGACACCGGCTAGGAAAATCCCTCTTTCACACCTGCTGCGTAAGAGAAACAAAAACCTGTTTGCAAAATCCTTTGAGGATCTGGGGTGAGAAAATGGGTGAGTAAGGGTCAGCTCTGATTCCATCCCTTCTCTGGGGGGGGGGGGGGAGAGAGGATCCCACAGTTTGGATCCGGAAGGCCGTGGTGGGAATCTCTCGAACCCCCAGCCAGGATGGATTCCTTGGTGCCACAGCCAAAATGCTGGTGAACGTAAGAAGCAATGAAGGGTGAGCTTGAAGGACAGTTTTAGAAGGGAGTTTTAATTCTCCTTCCACGAGGGCTTCATTCATTCATTCTCCCTCCCTTTCATCCCACGCTCGCAAACGCCAGAGGTGGTTTTGAAAACGGGTCGCGTTTCAAAATAATCATAAAATCCAATCATCAGTTTCTTCTCCTGTGGCCAAGCTCGTCCCGAAGCTCTTGTAACAGCAACTGACTTCTTGATTTTTTTTTTCTTTAGGAATCTAAAAAAAAAAAAAATCCAAACAAACAATAAGAGTAGTGGGGGGGAGGAAGAAATGTACACTAAAGGACTTACAACGGCTCCTTTAGTGTCCGCTCGAAGTAACGGCAGCACTGAAAAAAGCGACTTATGACCATTTTTCACACTTACGACCGTTGCAGCAAAAGTCACGTGATCACAATTCAGACGCTGGGCAACGGACTCCTATTTATGACGGTCGCAGTGTCCCGGGGGGGGGTCACGTGATCCCCTTTTGCGACCTTCTGACAAGCAAAGTCGAGGAGGAAGGCAGATTCACTTAACAACCGTGTGACTAAGTTAAGCACTGCAGTGATTCACTTAACAACCCTGGCAAGAGAGGTCTTAAAATGGGGCAAGACTCACTTAAAAAGTGTCTTGCTTAGCAATGGAAACTTGGGGCTTAACTGTAGTCGTAAGCCGAGGACCACCTGTATAAGCCCTGTTACCTTTGGCATTCTTCTCCAAAAAGACATCAACGTAGGAAGTGGGGACGTAGCCTTCCTCATCCTCGTTCCTCCGGATGCGGGTCCACCCATCCCCTTTGTCTTCCTCTATGACATACAAGGTTTCTCCTTCCGTCACGGATATGGTTCCTTCGTTCTGTCCTGCAAATGAGAAGTTGAGGTGGATCAATACGGGCGGTCCCCCCCCCCAAAAGCCCCTAAATTCAGGTCACATCCTCTGCATCAGGCTAGTCCTGGGCGTTTTTGTAAAGGGCGTGCCAGAATGTTTTCACCAGAATCTGCTGGGCCCTGTTTGGGGAATTCCCCCCCCTTACCTTCAAAGGTGTACAGAGCCTTGCAGGTGCCAATTGTGGGAAGGGGTTCCTCGTCGTCAAATTCATCGTCAAATTCGGTCGTCGGCGTTTTCATGTCACTCTCCTGGCTGGGTTCCTCTGTGTAACCGCCATCGGGACTGCTCAAGACAGGAAAAGGGCAAGAGAAGGCAGCCACTATAGCAAGCTGTCAGATGGGCTTCGAAGGGAGGAGACGCTGCCCCTCACCCTGGATCTCTTCTGTGAAGTTCTGACCTCTTTGGAGAATAGGTCGACCCCCTCTTCTCTGTGGCAGCCCCTCAAGTATTGGAAAAATACTATCATGTCGCCCCTCATCCTTCTCCTCGCAACCTTTCATCGTGTCTTTTAGCCTCCAGACCCCTAATTGTCCTTGTTGCACTTCTCTGCACTCTTTCCGGAGTCTCAACTTCTTGTTTATATTGAAGTGACCAAAACTGGACACAGTATTGTCAGTGTGACCTCACCAGTGCAGCATAAAGCAATGTGTCACTTCATATCTCGATGCAGCCTGGGACTGCATTGGCTTTTTTGGCAGCTGCAGCCCACTGCAGCTTGCAACACGAGCCGTCTGCTGCCTTGCAGGGTGTGTGCTCCAGGCAACAAAATGTACAATGCACCTGAGCTCATGGAACATGCCACTCACAGTAAAAAAAAAAAAAAAAGAGAGACAATAAAGGTTATCTCAATCTAATCTTAATCTCTTAAACTTTTGCAACATGACTCCACCCCTTTTAACCTAGCCACCCGTGTAGGCTGAGATCAGTTTGCCTGGGATCCAGAGAGATCTTGGAAGAAATTAAACCTGAGATTGCAGCCAGATTCCAAACGGCTGTCAGACACGGGAGCTCTCTAAGAATCCCCAGGCCAACCTCTCTCCACTCAGCCTACCTCTCAAGGTTGTTGTTCTTGGAGGAGAGAAAGGTGCCACAGAAATCAAGTATCAAAGCGAGGTGAGGGTTGCACCACCATTCACAAGGCTGGCATCCAAGAGGGCAGGGCACCAAACCTTTGCCACCTGCACTATACAGGTACTGTACCTCTCTCGGTCTTGGACACAGTTGGTGACGGTCAAGGTGTTGCTCTGGGGCTCGTACGCTCCACTCTGGCGGCGCATCGCCTCTGTCCGGACAGGTAAACGACCTTCCACCTCTGCTAACCAGCCCTGAAGCCGAGAATGACGGGAAATGAGGGACTTGAATGGTCTGTGGGAACAGCCTTGGGAGACGGGAGGAAGAACGGCAGACCAGATAAAGGTATCTCAGCCCAGAGATAGAAAAGGGGCGGGGGAAACATCTCAGAAGAGTCCCTGACAGGAGAGGACAGGTACTTGCAGCCCTGCAAGATTCTGTTAAGGTGACCGGACAATAGAGAGAGAATTGGGCTTTTTCTCTGGATTATCTTGCAATGCTGACGGATATATTTCAGCATCTTGGAAAAATCATTTGGATCTGACCAGCCCGGCGGGACAAAAACACCGTAACTGATGCTCAGATTAGGGGGTCCCCAACCCCCAGTTCATGGACCAGTATCAGGCCATAGTATGTCAGCAACTGGTCTGCACAAACAAAGCCCCATCCGTGGGATGCAGGCAGCACACAAAACCACGTACTCTCTGGTCCGTGGAAAAGCCTTTCTCCGTGGAACCAGTCCCTGGTGCCCAAAAGGTTGGGGACCTCTGGCTTAGATAACTCCCTACCTCAAATTTTTGTATTTCCAGCCTCAGCTTCTCCAAGTTTTGTCCGAGTTCAGCTAACTTAATGTCCACGCTGGCTGCGTCCCCCATTTGGGGGTTCTTGATGTAGACATCTTTCATTTTCGTTAAGGCCTCTCTGTGAAGGAAGAGGGAAGAGCCATCATCCGCCAGGCACTTAAAATCACTGTCCACGCCTTTTCAGCACGTGGAGTGGGCAGGTACTAGTCCATTTAGAGTCACTATATCCCCATGACCAAAGACTGTTATTTTAATTCTAACAATGATCGTATAGGCAGGTTTCTTCGCCAACAATGGGAGGCATTCCTGCTGGAAGATAAAACTTTCCCAGTTTGGGAACCAGCTTTTGCATTTATTCTGTAAAACCAGAGCCAGGAAAAGCATTCTGCATTTGTACTTTAGCTACTTTAACTGGAAGGGACACTTTGGAGGTCTTCTAGTCCAACCCCTTACTCAAGCAGGAGACCCAATCCCAGTCCAGATAAATGGCTGTCCAATCTCATCTTAAAAACCTCCAGTCTTGGACTAACCACAGGCAATTTGTTCCATGATTAGTTGTTCTCACTGTTAGGAAGTTTCTCCTTAATTCCAGGTTGGTTGTCTCCTTGAGTAATTTCCACCAATTGTTTCATCTCCTGCCTTCTGGTGCTTTGGAAAATAGGTTGACCCCTTTCTCTTTATGGCAGCCCCTCAAGTATTGGGAGACTGCTATCATGTCACCCCTGGTCCTTCTCTTCCTTAGACAAGACAAACCCAATTCCTGCAGATGTTTTAGCCTCCAGTCCCCCAATCATCTTTGTTGCTCTTCTCTGCACTCTTTCTGGAATCTCAATATTCTTTTTTCATATCGTTTGATCTACCTTTGATCCAACTCTTTCTGAATGTCCTTGTTGATTTCATCCACCTTTTGCTGGAGTTTCTTTCTTCGTTGCTCCGGGGGAAGATTGCTGTAATCTTCTGGTCCTCCTCCCTGGGATTGCAGGAAGGAGAAAAAGGAGAAAAAGAGGAAACTGAAATCTCTCAATTGTGACGAAGTTCCCAGGGACGCCTCCACCACACCCGAGATTTTATTGGCCTGCATTGCAATATTCTGACCCAATTAGCTATCCAAAGGTGTTGCCTTCATTGACTTAAAGGCATTTTTAAGGCGGCGGATTGGCTGTTGAACAGCCAATCGCAGGGAGTTCCCGCGCTCTCTTCTGAGATACAACTGGGAGCACCTTTTCTGAATAGCTCATTTTACAAAAAGGCTTTTAAAAAGCTTTTGTAAGCCACAATTCTCTTCATGTCGGATGCACAGAATGGCTAGATTGATCTAAGGTTTAAATGAGGAGGGAGTTGGGTGAGAAAAGGGAAAGGAAAAATGGGTTATGGATGAAGAGAGCTGCATCTGACAAAAGCTTAATTTAATTAAATTTATTCCACAAACGTCATAACATTTGTCAGAAAAAGCGCTATCAAACTTCTGATTTCTTTTTCTCCCCCCCCCCCCCAACCTGGACTACTATGGCTCTCCTCTTATGGCACTTCGCTCAGGGAAACCTATGAATGTCCGCTTTAAAATGATCACTAAACGGTCGTAAATGGAGGACTACCGCTACGGTATGCAAATGAGAGCGAAGGCATGATCTTTACGGCTGCAGCTGTTGAAAAGGGGTAGAAGTGGAATCACCATCAAATCTACAACCCATCAGGGCCAGATTAAGCCGGAAATTAGCTGTTTTCTGGACCGGAGAGCTTCACAGGAGGTTGATTAAAACATAGGCTGGGGATAAGACTGGCCTTTTGCAAACCTCAGAGGAAGGAGGTTTCAGATTTCCGGGCAAAAGATTGAATTTATTTTGCTTTTCACCTACTTTCCTGCATGCTTCATTCCACCCTGAAAAGAAATCAGCCTGTCATTTAATATTCTTTTTTTTATCATCCGTCCGTTCAAAAGAAGAATGTTTTCCCTCGGGCAGATCTGCCATGTGGCTTTGAATTTCCTCATGCAGAATTGAAGCCCTTCTGGTTAGGAAAATAAGCAGGCTCCCTTGACAATTATTCTGGTTGTTAAACCCAGCTAACAAACGCAAGGAAAGCTTAATCTGAGGCCGGGCTGCTTGGTTCCAACTTATCCGGATGCTGTCCATCAACAAGCCAGTCAATCAACTGTCTGAGTTTGACTTGATCGATCTATTCACCGCCTGAACTGCCTCTGATTATTCCACCCAGAATTCTTGCTCCAAGCAGCTCCAAGCCTGACAAAATTTCAGAACAACAAATAATTACAGGGAATCCTCGACTTACAACAGTTTGCTTAGTGACCGTTTGAAGTTACAACATCACTGAAAAAAAGGACTTAGGATTGTACTACTCACTTAACAAACTGTCTCGCTTATCGACAGAAATTTGGGGCTCAATTGCAGTCGTACGTCGAGGACTACCTGTAGTGCCAAACTTAACCCACCAACTGATTCACCGTGAAGATATTTGAGCAAGCCTTCTCTTTGAGCTGGAATGTAGGATGAACCTGCCGTGAAAATCCCTCATCACCAGCCTCAGTTTTTGGAATTAAATGGAGTTATTCTTTTGAAATTTGCTGGGATGGGGTTAAATAGCATTAGTTTGGGGAGTTTGCACATGAAAGGCTGAAAAACATAGTTTGCTAGCAGACCAAGACAAATGGATAACCAAGATGGCCTCTGTTGGGTCCAGTTATTAAGACTGGGAAAGAGGTGATCAGTTTGAACTCAAAGAAGGACAGAGAAGGATCCGCCAAGGCTTATATCAAGGACAATTTATTTATATATTCCTGAGGATCCTTTAGTTCTCCATTGGGTAGGGTCCGAAAAAAATCTCTTTTTGAAAACCTCCAGTGATGGAGCACCCACAACTTCCAGTGGCAAGCTGTTCCACTGATTAAGAATCTATAGAATTCTCTCTAAGTTAGATTGTCCACTGATTGATGGTTCTCACTGTCAGGAAATTTCTCCTTAGTTCCAAATTGCTTCTCTCCTTGAATTAATTTCCATCCGTTGCTTCTTGTCCTGCCCTCAGGTGCTTTGGTATCAAATATTGAGTTTTTTTCTGGACAGTTGGCTGCTTCAGATAGGAGGAAAATCTTTTAGCAGTGAAAAGTGATACCACATATTTTATTTGGGGGGGAAAAATCAGCAGATGGGTCTTTTCAGTTCCTTGCCAATTTGGAATAATGTAATTTGTAACTAGGATAGCAAACCTTTAACTAACACATTCTTGGAATTTGCAAAACAAACAAACAAACAAAAAAACCCGCTGTGCAATCCAAAAACTTGCTATCCTAACTCTCCTTTCATTTGGGAGCATTATTTATTTTTTTAACAAATTGTGATCTGAATTGGCCAGACTTTTCTCTGTTGTTCATTGAGTTCAACACTTTGTCTTCTTCCCTGTCCCCACCTGTGGATGGAGAAAAGTGTCTTTTTCACCCAAATTGAATTATTTTAAATCTGTTTCAAGACTGTCTGTCAGTTCAGAATGACAAGCCTACTGTCTATGTTTTTACAGCCTGCATCATGCCGCTTTCTGAAAGCCATCTAATTAAATTGAAACACCACAAGTTAATTCTTAGTAGTTCATTAACAGCATTAAAATGGGATCACCTCCATTAAATTCCAGACCTGCATATTCAAAGTTATCTGATAACGGCCAAAATAAAATAAAATAAATAAACACACACAAACACAAACACAGAAAAAAAAAGACAACAGGAAAAAAAAGTTATTTTTCAATGTAGCTGTTTGGATAAGCTGCAAGTCACACACATAAAATGGTGATTTTTTTTTAAAAAAATATTCATGCTGGGATGGTGCTTACCAGCTTCAGGGAAAGCTTCGTGTTAAAACGGAGGAGGACGGAGAAGGGGGAAAAAAAGAGAGAGAGAGAGAAAGAAAAGAACGTATCAGAAAAAGAAGACAAAGCTTCAAACGGTTTCTAATAAAACGATGCAAATGAGCTGGACACACGCACAGAGTCTGCTCAGCTTGTGCAAATGGACACTGCTTGTTACACAACTTTGCAAAGGTTCACAAGATCGTAAAGGGGCAAAAAAATACTGCCTTGGTCTCCCAACAGCCAGAAGATACAAATTCAGTGTTTGTTTTTTGTTTTGTTTTTTGATCCTGCCTCTTCCATGCTAACCAGCCTCTGCAAAAAAAAGGTGACTTGAGAACTGATATTCAAAAGTGACTCCTTCTGGTTTAGACCCTTTAACTTTTAAAATGTAATTATTAGGATTGTGTTTGTTGCTTCCAAGTATGATTTTGTATTAATTCACAGCCAAAAGACCTCAGTAGATAGATATAGATATATAAGCTAAAAGTTTAGCCTTAGATGAAGCCGGTGAAATAAATGGATTGTTATTACATAAAACAATTAAAACTCCAGCTTACTGATGTGTTCACCATAGACATGGGTTTTACAGCCATCGTTCAAAACATGGGAATGGCTGGTACAATTTTAGGCTTTTTTTAATCTGCCAGTAACATTTTAATAGATTCACAATTAGGGCTTCCTGTCCTGGATTTTAAAATAGGTCAGATAATATCCTGCTGAAATATCTAAAAATAAAGGCTGAGAGTAAACCAAATTCTAAAAATAAACAAACCTCTTCCCTGCATGGAATGAGCTAGCACATCCCGGTATTTTAATTTATCCAAGTAAAATAAAAATAAAATCTGAGACCAAGTTGGAATCTTTTAAATCTACCAGAGTAGCTTCTGAAAGTTATCTTGTTATGTTCTGGACAAAGGTTTTAATCCCTTTTGTTTAGTGAACAAATCTTACATATTTCCATCAAGGTAATTTCTCTATCTTGGAGACTTTGGACCAGTCCCTCTCTCTCAGCCCACAAGGGAGAGGAGGAGTATTAGGTATGTTTGCTACTGTGAGTTGTTTATCAAAATAATAATAATAATAATAAAGGTGGGACATAAATAATAAATCACCTAAGCCATGGACCCAGTCCCCTGGAGTTTCCAACCCCGCCTGCCAAGCTGCAACGTGGGTTTATAATCTCCCCCCCTCACTTACCTGAACCCACCAGGGGTTGAACCTCTGTTCAAAAGTCCATTTTATCACGGCCTTTTGCATTTAAAAAAATAGAATAAATGCAATTGACTTGCAGAAAACTGAAGGGCGAGCATCTCTCAGTCCCTGTCACTCAACGCCGGCCCTCAAAATCCGAGCATCTCCTTTGCTGTCCCATCCCCCCTCGCCCCCCCCCCAATGGCTGTGAACATCTACAAAGACACAAGGCTACTACACATCTCCAACAGCTACATGCAGGCTATCAAAACTACAAGGGATGATTGCCAGAGGAAAGAACACATCCCTACGAGAAGCATGCGCTATGAGTCAAAGCTGGTCACTCTCTAGACAGGAAAAAAACGACGCCAAAGCTACGAATTTGCCATCCAACAAGGCCACTCTTTTACCGGTCACTCCATAGATGCTATGGGCTGGACCACACATATATACAGCATATCTACAGCTTACAAAATGAGGCAGGGGAAGAGACACAGAGGAGGAAGGCGGAAATGAGACCAAAGGTGTTGTTTTGCAGGGTGGTTTTTCCCCCCCCCGGATTTTTTTTTTTTTTTTTTGCATCTACGGTGGAGGCTTTTAAACTGTCAACATGACTGCCCCAAAGGTTCCAGAATGCGGTCTTAAAAACTTTGCATCCATGGTGAGAAGAAGGAATTAAATAAAAAAAGTGGAGCTCCAGATTCTTAGGTGGCTGAAAGTAAAAAATATTATGCCATACGAAGTCCCCAAAAAAGCTCCTATGGAATGATTGGAAAAAAAAAAGGAGTTGTTGTTATAACAGCGGCTCATGTGTACAAAGCATGTGAAACTGAAATGTTGAGGCTGTATTTTATTATTTTTATTTTACGGCGCTGAAAAGAAGTTGGAAGTTAATCCTTTTTTCTTAACATAATAAGAGAGTTGAATGGGGCCTTGGAGGTCTTCCAGTCCAACCCCCTGCTCAAGCAGGAAACCTTACACCATTTCAGACAAATGGTTGTCCAATCTCTTCTTACAAACCTCCAGTGTTACTTCCTTTCTTTTCCCACGCTTCTCTTTCTCCCTTTTTTCTCTTCCCCTTTTCCCGTTATCTTTTTTTTTTCATTTATATTTTACTATGAGAATTTGAATACAAATTATGTTAAAAATAAACTGGTTTGATTACTGTAAAAAAAAAACTTTCGTTCTACTGATTGGGCTGTGGTTAATTTTTAGAATTCCTTTTAACTTCCTGGGTTTTTCATAGCCCTGTAAAATAAATAAATGAATAAAATGAAACTCATTTCAGTCTTTTTTACCTGGATGCTGCTTTAATTCTTTGGCTACGAGCAACCTGATCACTAGATTCTGGTTTTCCACGCTTAACCTTGGTTTCTTTGGATGACACTAGGATGGCTTAAACTGGCTTTAACCCAACCAGTTTAGCATGTTTGGGATTTAATGTCCAGGGTGATGCACGCCCGAAATTCAACAGTTGAATTATATGACTTGCACTGACTCAGACAAAGAATCCTGGTGGGAAAACCAACAATAGCAAAATTGGCTACCCAGGGATGATGCCTAAAGTTACTCCTCAAATAAATGATCTAATCCTGGATTTCACTGAGAAATTGCAGGGGGAAAAAAGGTATAAGAAAATGTCAAAGCCCTTTAAGTCCTCTCCTTAAGAAAAAAAAAGTCATGTGTTTATCAACTTGGACCTCTTGAAGATGGGTGGGCTTCAACTCCCAGAATTCCTCAACCCGCTGGGGAATTCTGGGAGTTGAAGTCCACACATCTTCTAGCAGCTGAAGTTGAAGGTCTATGTAATCGCAAGGTATACATTTGAGGATCAAGTTCAGTTGCGCCATTTCCAACCATATTTCCCACTTCATTTATTCGGGGTTTTCCCCCCAACTGATGGCCATTTGCGACAGATCCGCAGAGGAAAGGGGTGGGCCAGGCTCTGATTTCTCACAAGGCCCCTTTCTTGAACCTGAAACCAAGGGCAAAATCCTCCGGGGCGCATGTTGTCAGGATGCAGCAGAGGGATCCTTTTGCGGGGAGCCGATGATGGAGGAAAAGCCGCAAGCAACGAAGAACACGCGGCAGCGCATGGAGAAGCCGGAGGATCTGGGTGTCACTGGCACGTGGCAAACCATGACTCTCGTTTACAGCGGGCAAGAGGGCGGTTTCCGAACGGTTAGGCCAAGATTATCGGGGCACCTCGGTGCCGTGGAAGAGCCTCGTAAGGCACAAAGGGGTGGGTGGAAGGCAGCTCTGCCTTTCATCAGAATTTGGGGTTTTGCAATCTCCCGACCGATCCGGGGTTGCGGAGGGCCAGATTGGAGCTTGCCCCCTCCCCTTGCCCCGTTGCAAAGAAGTCAGTGGTTGCGCCAATGATGGCCTGGGCTGTCCACACCATCCATGGGACTTACAATGTACTCCCTAGCTTCCACGGCATAGGTGGCTCTGCCTAATCGCCTCTTCATGTGTTCTTTGTCAAAGTACAAAGACTGAGACTGTTGCTGAGTCAGCAAAAGAAAATACAGGTATTAAAACGGAGGAAGAGGAGGAGGAGAAGGAAGAACAAAAAAAATAAAAGAGATCTACATTTACTTTTCCTACAGCAATATAAAGATTACCTCTAGCTGGAGCGTGATTGAAACAAAATGAACAAAGATCCTCTGAACTGCAAGCCAGCAATCAGCAAAGAGGGTGGCCAGGTTACGATCTAACACAGGTAGTCCTCGGCTTATGACCGTGAATCAGGACCAGAACATCCAGCGCTAATCAATGCCGTTGTTAAATGAGACATGCCTGGCTGCAGATAATGGGTGGACTTAATGACCATGGATTTCCCTTAACGGCTATGTGAATTTGCTTAATGACCATCGTAAAAAAAAAGAAGTCATAAAATCAGGTTGGGCACACAATGGTTCAGTTAAGGATCAGCCTGACTTATGACCATATGGACGTAAGTTGAGGACTACCTGTACTGGTCCTCCCTGGGTCTCAGAAAAAAAGCTGAGCAAGAGAAAGGGGACACAGAGACACCCCCTCCCCATGAAGCGTTTAATACGAGAAGCATCTGCTTTGGATGCAAATTCTGAGCAGAATTCTTCATAATCCAGAACTGAAGGAGGAGTGAGCAGGAGAGAGAAAACAGCTAGACCAGGAAAAAAAAAAACACCTAGCTAAAAAATTAACTAGCTAAATACTAAACAGTCACTAACTCTGATCTACTATACTGGGTTATTCCAAGCCAGAAAACTGAATAATTTATCCAGTCACAGGAAAATCCTAAGTGTGCCCCAGTTACTACTACTAATAATAACAACTTAACACTCCTCGCATTAAGAAAACTAGCCTGGCAGTTTATTCCCTGACAGGCTAACTTTTAGAGGCAGGACGTTTTTTTGAGTTTCGCAGAAATTGTTTTACGCTGAATTATACTCCATCCAATTTAGATGTGGCCATTTTAAATATCCTGTCCTACCAAACACCAGCTAACAGTTTAATCCCAAATAAGTGAAATCCATCTTAAATTTTCCAGCTTCGGTGGGGTTTCAGAGGATGTGAACATCATAACACGAAAAACAGCCCTTGGTCAACACAGTTTATTTCACTTTTCTTTCTAAAAACACCAAGTACCTACCGAATTTGGACTGCAGAGAAAAATAATCACACGCTATTAATCTGCAAGCAAGCCAGGGCTGAAACAGTGCTAAAATAAAATCAACATCCCCAAAAGCTGAAAAAAGGAAGAAATTAATCTTTTTTTTTTAAGGCATTGTGGCAGGCAGATTGGAAAAGTATTAAGTTGGAGGATCACAATGGGATTGTACGCCCATAATGCACAAGTTCAAGAAAGAATCAAAAGTAAAACATGGCAAATGATTAAAAACACATTTCTGGATGCAAAACAGACAATTATATGATAAGGGAAGGAGTCAATAACATCCATCGGAACAGAAACCACAAAGGTTCAAGTGGAGAGTCACTAAAAATGACGATTGCAATCGGTTAACGACCGCTGGGGGGGGGGGAAAGCACCATTTTTGGTGCCGTTGCAACTTTGAATGTCACTAAATGAAGCACCCTTACTCTAGAGACACTGCTCAGATTTGATTGTTTTGATGGCCAAATAGAATAACAGAAAAAACAGAATTGGAAGGGACCTTGGAGGTCTTCTAGTCTAACCCCCTGCTCAGGCAGGAGAACCTATACCATTTCAGACAAAGGGCTGTCTAGTCTCTTCTCAAAAGCCTCCAGTGATGGTGCACCCACAACTTCTGGAGGCAAGGAGTTCCACTGGTTAATTGTCCTAACAGGAAATTTCTCCTAAGTTGCTTCTTGCCCTGCTTTCAGGTGCTTTGGAGAATAGGGGGACCCCCTCTTCTCCCTGGCTGCCCCTCCAGAACTGGAATACTGCTATCATGTCACCCCTAGTTCTTCTTTTCACTAGACTAGACCTACCTAGTTCCCCCCCAAATAAACCATGAGATTTAGATTCCTGACCCCAGATTGCCTTTGTTGCTCTTCTCTGCCCTCTTTCTAGGGTCTCGGCATCTTTTTTGCATTGTGGTGAACAGAACTGGACCCAGGACCCCACTGCAGTATAAAGTGGTCCTTTCATTTCCTGATCTGTGCGACGTTTTTGTGGTTTCACCGTGGTGGTTTTTGACTCCGTGTTGAATTCTACTTCTTGGCATCTCATTGCCAAGCTACAGGTCTGACACACCACTATGGCCCTCTACGAGGAAGGAAGGAAGGCACGGGTGGACGTACACCTCAGTTTCCCCAAACGTCACAACGGAACGTGCAATGGAAGAGGAGAGGAAAGCCGACAGACACACCCAGAGAACTTACCCCACGCTTTAGGCTCCTGAAGCAGTGGATTTTGGGTTTGGAGGTCATGAACTCGTTGAAGCGATGGGAGAGGGGTTCCTTTGGCTGCTTGGGGGACTGAGGGCCATTTGGAAGAGCAGAAGGCGAGGCAGAGGAAGGGGGCAGAGGAGGAGGCTGATAGGGGGGTGTTAAAAGGGACATAAGCTACGTATAAGAGATGGAGAAGTGATAGAATTAAAAAAGAAAACAAAACAACAACAACACAATGAAATCAAAAGGTTAAAAAAACCAAACCTGGAACAAAAAATAAAATAAAATAAAGCACAGAGCACACACACAAAAATTACAAGCACCAAAAGGAAAACTAAACCAAAACAGATAGGGGGGAAAAAAAAACTGCTGAAATCAAACTTTGGAAGAATTCCTCCCAAAAACAGCCACGGAGGTGGGCAAAGAAAAGCAAAACTCGTTGACGTCATGGGGTTTTTAAATCAGGGAAGCAAAGCAGAATGTGGCTGGGGAAAAAGAGAGGAAGAAAACAAGAGGAGGGGGAGGTTCGACGTCTTGAATGGAAAAGAAACGTTTTTCCCAAAGGAAGGCATGATCAAAAAGCCGTTTTTAGTAAGTGATTAAGATGCTGGGGTTGCTCACCATGCGCCATGCAGGAGGAGAAGCTAACGTGGAACTAAAAAGAGACAGTTTCCCAACCTCCATTCCCAATTGCGGTGTTAAATAAACTGGAAAGTGCTGATCCAAGAGAATATTTGTAGGTTAGGACTGAATTGTGAGGTCCTGGGTGCTCTCTGAGTTTGGTTGTTTTCTTGCAGACATTTCATGACCCAACTAGGTAATGTCATCAGTGCTAGTGAGTGTGGCTTTCTCCCTGTTTACATGCAGTAGATCAGAGCACTATGAAGCGGTATAGAAGTCTCAGGGCTATTGCTATTGCTAGCATCAGTGTTAAAATGTAGCACTGAGGAGAAGCTAGCTCCTTTCCAGCACTGATGATGTTACCTAACTGGGTAGTGTAATGTCTGCAAGAAAACAACCAAGCTCTGAACTTCTGTACATAGACAGGGAGAGAGTCACACTCACAGCACTGATGATGTTAGGTGGTCAGGTGATGATAGCTCCCGAGGATGTCCATCCCCAGATGGGTGAATGACAACCCCCCAAATTCCCCAGTGAACACGCCATTGCTGAACATTCTGGGATTTGGAAGACAAGGACTTCAGACGGTGGACTTTAACTCCCAGTTTTTCCAACCCACATTTGGTCTGCGTTGGGATTTCTGGGAGCGCCCTCCAGACCTACAAACTTCTACAACCAGAATTCTGTTGCCTATTTCATTGTGGCTGAGAATTATGGGAGCTGAATACCTCTGTATTGTTTGAAGAAAACCACTGGTGGACATCAAAGAACGAGGTGCAACCACAGAGATCAGTAAAGTGAAGGTCAAGGGGGAAGCGTGGAGGACTACTTGTCCAATCTCATCCTACACCCAAACCAGGGGCTAATGGTGTAGAAGGCAAAAAAAGGATGGGAGAAACCTACATCTGCAGAAGGGGTGTCAACCCAACGCAAGATGAAGAGCCCAGGAACATGGCTTATTCATGCGTTGATCATGCTGGTGATGAAAAGGAGAAGTTGGTGCACGTGAAGAGGGTTAGACCTGCCCATCCCAAACATTTGCTTCTCTGCCCCAGAACGCTAGCCAAGAAGTACCCATAGATACTGTCCCACCACAAATGAGACACGAAAGCTGGGCTGAACTTCAAAAGGGTTGGTCTTTTCCTCACTTTTTCCATCTCAATACCATTTCATGAGCCACAGACAAGGAAAAGTCACACGGTGGGTTGAAGCACCCATTGCTGTGGTCCGTGAGTTTCTGGCCCCTGCTTCGTAAGGGCCCACCCTCCAAAAGCTGACGTGGACAGTGGAGCAAATGTTTGGTGGAAAGAGAGATCATGCAGGTTGAGCAAATAAATCATGTTTCCTAGTTGGACCGGGAAGGATGGAGTTCTAATGAAGATGCTTCCGGCCCAATTTAACAATGGAGAAATTGGTACCGGGGAAGACTTCTGCTTCCCTAAATGATTGAATTAGCTGGAAAGGGTTGAGCAATGGAACCAGAGAAGCAACTGAGGCAGGCATGGGAAAAAAAAAAAAAAAGAAGGGACAGCAATTATTTAGAATTGAGCAGGAAAGTTTAAAAAAAAAAGAAAAGAAATACAGGTAGTCCTCAACGTACAACAGTTCATTTAGTGACCGTTCAAGGTTACAACGGCACTGAAAAATGATTTTCACATTTGTGACCGTGGCAGCATCCCCATGGTCACGTGATCAAAATTCAGATGCTTGGCAACTGGCATGTACTTAGGACGGTTGCAGTGTCCCTTTGGGGTCACGTGATCCCCTTTTGCGACCATCTGACAAGCAAAGTCAATGGGGAAGCCAGATCCACTTAACAACCGGCTTACTAATTTAACAACTGCAGTGGTTCGCTTAGCAACAGTGGCAAGAAAGGTCGTGAAATGGGGCAAAACTCACTTCAGAAATGTCTTGCTTAGCAACGTAAATTTTGGGCTCAGTTGTGGTCGTAAGTTGAGGACTACCCGTAACCACCATGGCGAAGATACAACTGAAACAGAGCCAAAACTAACTTTAAACCAATTCAAATCAATTCGGTATTAAAAGCTAAATGTAAATTATAATCAAAAGAACCATAATTTCAAAAGAAAATGCATCAAAAAATTAAAAAAAAACAAACAAACTTTGCCAATTAAAAGAAAACCGTTACATTAAATTTCAAACAGGACCATCAGCTATTAGTTCTTAGAAACTAATTTCTATTTAAAATAAAAAATAAAAAAAGAAGAGAGAAAGAGAGAAAAAGAGAAAAAAAAACACACTTCACTGCTGGGCTTTCAAAGAAAAAAACTCACAAGTAGCAATACTACTGTACAAAAGTGTGAATAACGAGGCCAAAATGCACGTGGGAAAAATAGTGTTATATACCTTGTTTTTTTTTATGAACGGCCATAATTTGCCCTTGGACTTGCTTGAAAATCTGGATTCAGATTTGCCCTCTTTGGAGTTGGAGAGACTGGATTCCGAAACAGCTCGCTTGATTGGCTGGGTGAAGTCTTCAAAGTCGACGTCTCCCGGAGGTTCGAAGCCGGATTTGAAGGCGTCGATCACCAGCTGAGAGTCCTGGACGGGACACACAACGGCAGAAAACAGGGTCACCAATTGGGGATCTGGACCTCAAGAACTTAGAGGAGCCAGCGAGGATGCAAACGATCAAGGTCTCCGGGTCAGGATTATCCCAAAGGTGCTTTTTCAAAAGGTTGCTGGACTCGCTTGGTTTTTTTCCTTGAAGAGGAAAATTCAGAAGCTTGGCAACTGACATGTACTTGTGACAGTTGCAGCGTCCCGGAATCACGTGATCACCTTTTGCGACCGTTTGACAAGCAAAATCCCTGGGGAAGCCAGATTCACTTAACAACCATGTTAACTAATTTAACAAATGCAGAGGTTCATTCAAACCTGGGTAAAGAAAGGTTGTAAAATGTGGCAAAGCTCACTGAAGAAATGTCTCGCTTAGCAATGGTAATTTTGGGCTGAATTGTGGCTGTAAGTCGAGGACTAGCTGTGCAGTGCCCAGAAGGATTTGAAGCAGGGCTGCCTAGCATTAGTCCTCAATTTGCAACCACAGTCGGTACCCTACTGCGATGAGGACTGAGGGTAAGTCACTTTTTCTCCCTTGTAACTCCTAACGGTCGCTAAACAAATGGTCGTAAGCCGAGGACCACCCGTCAGACCCTCGTCATCCATTTCTACATCACTTGTGTGGAGGGTGGATTGCTCTCCACCTTGGAAGAAGCAACACTCGGGATGCTGTTTACCCCAAATCTTTACAGGACAGGAAGAGGAAATGAAGAGCGGAAAAGGTCTGAACGGGAGGGACAAAGAAAGCAACGGGAGCCACATCCTGATTGTTCTGCCTCCTCTTTTTCCAAACTTTTGAACCCTTTGCTTTATCTTCTCCAAGCCAGGCCACATCCTCCACCCTGGCTTTCAACCTCCTATCACGGCAGTGGGGCCAAACGTGGCCAGATCCGGCTTCATCTGAGGGGGGAGAGGAAACAGGAAACCAGCAATCGAGAGCAAATGCACTGCTCTCAGCTTTCTAAGTTTGTACCGTTTAAAATCTGTATCTACATCCTACACATCTCTGTCCTAGAGAGACGCCACAGGGGTGGCCCCCTCTGGCTTGCAGGAGATGAAATGCAAGGAGTCCTCAGCTTATGTCCAAAATTGACGCCAGAACGTCCATTGCTAAGCAGAATGGTTGTTGAGCAAATTGGTTGTAAGTCTATGTGAAAGGGGATAATGGATGCATTGCCTTAAGCATAATAAAAAGTTGCAAGGAAGAAACCAAATCCGATTCGGTTTCAAACCAAACCTGTTTTTGCACCTGACAAACAGGGTTAAATAACGCCCTCTTCGAAATCCAGGTTTTGATTTTGCGCCCGAAGGAAGCTGACCACTTACCTGCTTTGGATCAACGGCGTCCACCGCCTTGGTGATCTCATCCAGACACTTCCCGATGATGGGCGTCACCTGGCGATCCACCTCAGCAAACGTTTTCATAGATTCACCTATTCTGATTATCCGTCTCTCTTCCATGTCCTGGATTTTCTGGGAAGGAGAAGGAACCACAGGTTAAATATCTTTCAAGGACCCCCACACACCCTTGTAGCAACCTCATAAGTTAGGTCTACACACTCCCACACATTTCAAGTGCAAACAACAAGGGATCAGCACCGAAACTAAGACGGGGCTACTGAGAAATGAGAGGAAGGTGAGGTTACCCTAGATAGCCTGGCTTTACAAAGGACCAATAAAACTGTAAAGCTCAGTTGGTTGAACCTGGCACCGGCCTGCCCCATCCGTGCCCTGCCTCTCCAGCTGCAGAGTGGTGAGTGACAACGGCATGACAAACAATGGCGTCAACACAACGACAGCCCTGGAGTCTTCCGGACAAGAGGCCGCTGTGTTGCTCCCCAGTCTGAGTTCCTGCCAGAGTTTAATCAGGTGGAGCAAAAACTAGCGGGAGATCAGGAGAGGTTGTGCTGCCTTCACAGAGGTAATCCTTGACTTACGACCGTTCATTGAGTGACTGTTCCAAGTTACAACACCGCTGGGAGAAAAAGGGACTCAGGTCCATTTTTCACACTTACGACCATTGCAGCATCTCCGTGGCCACATGATCAAAACTGACATGCAACTGGTTCTTATTTATGACGGTCGCAGTGTCCCGGGGGGTGACGTGACCTCCTTTTGCGACCTTCTGACAAGCAAAGTCAACGGGGGGAAGCCTGATTCCCTTAACGACTGTGTGACTCCCTTAACAACTGCAAGGATTCGCTTAATGAACTGTGGCAAGACAAGTCACCAAAGGGGACAAACCCCACCGAACAACAGCTTAGCCACCGAAATCTGCAGTCGGAAGTCGAGGACTATATTGCCAGCTCCAAAGACAATTCGGAGCCCCTGTGAGAGGTTGCAGTTTGCAAGGCCAAGAAGGACCCTCACCTGGAAAATATTGGGAATATGCGTGTGGTAATGCTCTCGCTGCTCGTGGTTGAACTTCTGTAAGGTGGACAAATACTCTCCTTTGCTGTCTTCGGCCATCTGGTGACGGAGCTGGGCTTGCTGGCGGGCCTGGAGGAGGAAGAACGGAAACGTTGACACCCTCTCAACAAAACAGCCCGTTGGCAAATGACTTCTGAGAGATTTGCACCCCTTTTCAAGACTCCCCCCCCCCATGACTTCTGTTGCAAAGCAGCCTGGGAAATAATGGAGGGATGGGCAAAGACCCCCCAGAAGCAGAAACTGGCTGAGAAAAAGGGAAGAGGGTCAGTTTGCTGGAGAGGTTAAAATGCTGGACTAGAAACCAGGAGGCTGGGAGTTCTAGCACCGACTTACACATGAAAGCTGGCTGGGTGACTTTGGGCCAATCCCCAGGAGACGGTGAGTTCTAGTCCTGTTTTAGGCGTCGAATCTGGTTGGTTGACTTTGAGTCAATCACCAGGTGATGGTGAGTTCTAGTCCGGCTTTAGGTGCGAAAGCTGGCAGGATATCTTTGGGACAGTCTCTGTCTCTGTCTCTCTCTGTCTCTCTCTCTCTGTCTCTCTCTCTCACTTTCTTTCTCCCTCTCCCTCCCTCCCTCTCTCTTTCTCTCTCTCTCTCTCTCTCTCTCTCTCTCTCTCCCCAACCCACCTTGCAGGGTTGTTGTTGAGGGGGGGGGAAAGAGGAGCAGAAAGGATGTTCACTACCTTCAGTTGCAGGCAGGATATAAAAAACAATTTAAGGGCCAGAGAAGCGTTGGGCAATCTCTCTAGAAGCAGAAATTGGTTAAATTATTTCCTGCTGGCAATTTACGCTGTCTTTGCATAAATATTTTCCATCAACAATCCCTTTGTAGCCTGGCTTCTCCGCCCACCTCTGCCTTTTAGCAAGATCTTCACCGTCTGGCGTTCGTTTCACAGCCCACTTGGTTCGGCTGCCTCTCCGGCCTCCCTCTCATCTGCTTCGCATCAAATCCCTTTTCATCCCCACCGCCCTGGAACTCGGCTCCCGCTCGCAGCCTGGATGCGGCTGCGAGACAGCCGGCTTTGGGGAAGGGCCCGGGGAGGAACGCCCAGGGTGAAGAGGGTGCCCCTGCAAGTGTGCAGAGTGCATTCCTTTGCCATTTGGCAGAATCCCCCTCCTGTTAAAAAATACAAAACGTTCATGTCCCTTTTATAAAAGCAACTTGCTTTCATCTCCAGCTCTTCCTAAAAATAATCAGGATGATATTCAAGATAATCATCTCTTTGGCTGGGCTTCAAAATGCAGCTGGGGAGGGGGTTTGGGGATTGTGTAGATAGGTGTGCGGGGCAGTGAACAGACCACCCAGAAGCAAAATAGGTTTCTCTGTATTTTCCATGGAACTTTATCCATCCTTCCCCACACCCAGCAAGGCTGAATTTTCCTGGCCTTCGGAAAAATGATTCATCTTTTTATTTATTTAAACCCCGATGTGATTGCCTGATACGGCAACGGATATGTTTTGCCGCTGGTTTTAGATCAAGGGGCTCCCTTGCGGCTTGTTTGGCTGGTTGGGAGTATTTAAACAAATACACAACTTGAAAAGAGACCCTCGTGTTAGGAAGTGGGGTGGCTTCAGGAACAAGAGGAAAAAAAATAACAAAGTGGTGTAGGGATTAACCGTTTCTGCAGAGTATAATTGAGAAATTCAGAGACAGAATGGGATAAATGATCTATCTGAATACTTTTTTTAAAAAAAAAAATCCCTGCAGGTTGAAATCTAGCACCATAAACCTCGCAAGCGGAAATCTAGTACCACGAGAACGCAAGCAGCTTTTAGAACTTTTTCAGATTAGTTTGGCAAACAAGGTCACAAAATGTCCACAGCTCGACAAAGGTGGATTATTATTATTTTTCCCCAAAGGGTGCTCTCTTGGAAGGATGCAAAAGGAAAACAAGATAGTAGTCCCTATTATGCAAGGAGCATCAATACAGATTAGTTTGGCAAACAAGGTCATGAAACGTCCACAGCTTGACCAAGGTGGAAAGAGGAGCAAAAAGAGTGGGAAGGAAGGAAGGAAGGAAGAAGGAGGAGGAGCTAAAGAAAGAAAGGAAGAGGATGAAGAGAAGGCGAAGGAAAGTGGAGATAAAGACAGGAAGGGGAAGAAGAAAAGGAGAAGATGGAAGAGAAAGAGAAGGTGAAGGAGGAGATAGATAAAGAGGGGGAGGGGAGAACGGGATAAATAAATTGGAGAAGGGGAGGATAAGAAGGAGAAAGAAAAGGAGGAATGCAGTGCTCAGAAAGGAAAAATATTTTCCACATTGCTCAGGCTCATAGCAACAAAATGCAGCCTTTCCTTAAACAGCCTCAGCCAAATATCATCCAAGGCTTTCAACCCAGCCCAATCATCTCCCGGGGCTGGGCTGACGAGGGAGAAAACACACACACACACACAGAAGCAAAAGCTCCGAGGGGACTCTGGCCAGGAGTGCAGAGCCAGCCCTACATCCCTGGGACGCCCCACCCGTTCTGCCCCAGCTGGGCTAACCATAACCCTGCGTGGGAGGGAGCACCGTCCCTTCCCTGCCGGAGTTTCCCCAAAATGGTAAAAGAATGGAAGCCTGAGCTAAAAGCACGCCTGCTCACTTTTTCAGGCCCGTCACAATTTTTCACTCCGCCAACAGCCTCCCTTCTTCCTGCCTGCCAAGGTTGGGAAAAGGCAAACGTTCAGAGAGGGGAACTTGGAATAATTGATTATAGTTATAAAATAAGCCATAACGAAATGCACAAAATCTCCGGACACTTCCAAATTTTAGCCAAGCTATAGGTCGTCCTCTGCTTACAGCAGTTTGTTTAATGGCCATTAAACAGCACTGAAAAAAGAGACTTATGACCGTTTTCCACACTTACGACCGTTGCAGCATCCCCAGAGTCACGGGATCAAAATTTGGACGCTGAGCAACTGGCTCGTATTTATGACGGCGGCAGCGTCCCGGCATCACGTGATCACCTTTCGTGATCTTCTGACAAGCAGATTCAACGGGGGTGCAAGATTCACTTAACAACCGTGTTACTAACTTTGAACAACTGCAGCGACTCATTTAACAACTGCGACAAGCAACCGCCTCGCTTAGCAACGGGAAGCAACAGTGAGTTGTGGTTGCTGAAAAGAAGAGTGGCCGATCGAACCCAGCCAAGCAAATCAGTCCTGTTCTGGCCAGCTCACTGAAACACAACTTATTTTAGCTTTCTACAACTTATTTTAGCTTTCTACACTCAACCTGAAAGCAAGGCAGCTGCCTCCAGAGGCAGGGAAATCTCATGCCACAGGAAGGAGGCAGCCAAGCCAAGGGAAAACCAGAAAAAGTGGCTGGTAACAAAAGATAGAGATTGAAAACAACTCGGTTGCGTCATCCTGCGAAAACCGAGTTAGCGCTAAGGTACAGAGAGAAAGAGAAGAGAGAGAGAGAGGAATAGAAGAGAGACAGAAAGGAGAGAAAAATAAAAGACAAAGAGAAGAGAGAGAGAAGAGAGGAGAGAGAGAGAGAGAGAGAAGGAAGAGAGAAATAGAATATATAGAGAAAACAGAGAAAGAAGAGAGAGAGAAAAGAGGAGACAGAAAGAGAAGGGAGAAAGGAGAGAGGAAGAGAGAGAGAGGAATAGAACAGAAAGAGACAGAGAGGAGAAAAAAATAAAACAGATAAAGAGAAGAGAGAGGGAGAAAAAGAGAGAAATAGAACAGAACAGAGAAAGAGAAGAGAGAGAAAGAGGAGAGAGAGAGAGAGAGAGAAGAGGGAAAGAGAGAGAAGAGGGAGAAAGAGAAAGAAAGAGAAGGGAGAGAGAGAATCAGAAGCAACAACAGCAGCAGCTGCCCCATACATAAACAATGTGCTATTCTGCACCGCAATTATGTAAGCTTCACATCACATGTCCCCAGCAACGCAAAGAAAGGGACTTAAGCCTTAACACACTACACAAAAACACACATACTGTTCTCTCGGGCCAGCAACATGGCATCTGCACACCAGGCACGGATGGCGTGGCGTTGAATGTCCAGGAGGTGCCAAGAAAAGGGACGGCCCCAGCAGGCTTCTGGCAAGCAAAGTCAATGGGGGGGGAGAGCGATTCGCTTAACGACTGCAGTGATTCACTTAACAACAGTGGTAAGAAAAACCATAAAATGGGGCAGTTAACAAATGTCTCACTTAGCAACAGAAATGTGAGGCTTAATTGCGATTGTAAGTCGAGGATTATCTCCATACAGTCTCCTACTCAAGCAGTGGGTTGGAATGGATGACCTCCAAGGTCCCTCCCTTCCCTTCTGTAACAAAAATCGAGCAAAACAAGTCTCTCTCTCTCTCTCTCTCAATCTCTCTCTCTCTCAATCTCTCTCTCTCTCAATCTCTCTCTCTTTCAATCTCTCTCTCTCTCTCTCTCTCTCTCTCTCTCTCTCTCACACACACACACACACACACACTTTTACCTTTTCGACGTCTGCTTTCGTGACGTTGATGTCTGCGTCCATCTTCTCGAAGTATTGCTGTGCTCGGTCGGCTTCTTTGCAATCCCGTTCAAATCGTCGCTTGCTCTGACGAGGGATGGCAGAAGACAGTTAGCAAGTCATGTGTGAAAGGAACCTGACGTTGCTAGATAGTTCTCAAGGTTGCGTGCTTGGGCATTTATTTTGAATTTTTTTAAAAAGACAACTGCTGAGCTTTTGGGGTCTCGCACTGCATCTATGATTAAGGGCCATTAAACCATATGAAGAATGGTTGCAGGAATTGGGTATGTCTAGTCTAATGAAGAGAAGGACAAGGGGTTACATGATAGCAGTGATCCAGTATCTCAGGGGCTGCCCCAAAGAAGAGGGAGTCAAGCCATTTTCCAAAGCGCCTGAGGGCAGGACAAGAAGCAACAGGTGGAAACTAACCAACGAGAGAAGCAACCTGGAACTAAGGAGAAACTTCCTGACAGTGAGCGCAATTAATCAGTGGAACAATCAATAAAATAGATAATAATTACAACCTTTGCCGGTCCGTAAAGCCAAGGAAAGCTGAAGTCAGACCGTAAACACCATCGCGGTTTCCTTTAGCAACCTTAGCTTTCCTTAATGACAAAGTTGTGGGTCCAAGTTGTGATTGCTAAATGAGGATGGCCATTACTCCCGAAATCCTTGGTGCGTGGAGCAAACCAGCGTACTTTTACGAACAGCACGGAAACGTCAAACCTAACCCAGAACAGAGTCAGGCCCGCTCACCAATTCCAGCTGCTTCCAACAGGTTTCGATGTGTTGCTGCGCTTTCCGCCCGTCGTGAAAATGCTGAAAGGAAGAATTCACAAAGTCTTATTTAAAATAAAAATAAAAACGCAGAGACAAATTTAATGCCGTTTTTATGATTGCAGGCAATCCTTGACTTATGAATAATCCATTCGGTGACCATTCGAAGTCACAATGGCACTGAAAAATAATACTACTAATAATAATTATTATTATTATTATATTATCAACCTTCTTAGGAAGCTTCTGACAAGCAAAGTCAATGTTGCAAAAAATCTTATAAAATTGGACATGGTTACGTGACCTGCTTAACGACCATCACAACTTACGACCGTAATTCTGGGCTCAGTTCTAGTCGTAATTCGAGGACCACCTGTATTTCTCTACCGGTAGCCACGTATTTTAGCAATATTTTGTCTCCAGTTACAGTTTTTTTCTATTTTGTGCCAGGGTTAGGGAAAATTTGGGTTTTGTCTTTTTTTAGTTGGCTTAATTTCCTGGATATGTCATATTCCAGACAATAGGAGGGAGACAAAAGTCTACAAAAGAAAAGCAGGTTTAATAGTTCCACATCTGGATTATCTGTCTAGGCAAGAAAATATATTTCCACTTAATGGGATTTGTAAACCTCATTTTCCAGGTTGCAACACTGAGCTCTAAAAATGTAAGAATAAAGAAACAACTCTGATAAAAAAAACTTTGGGGAATTGAAAATGTATTTATTACTCTCTCTCTCTCCCCCTCAGAATAGCTTCACCTTGATCTCCTCGTATTTGGAATGGTGGCGATTATTTCCTACAACAATAAAGAAGTAATCTCAGACCCTTGCCCTACCATGAAGGGCTGACCCTAGACCTGTCCCGTTGAATCTGACCCCAGCATCCTTCGTCTCCAGCTACATCTTGTGAACAAAAGGCCTCTCCTGTCCGTTAATGTCTCTCTTCAGCCAACCGCATCGTTGGCCGTCCTATTCCGAGATCAGCGTCCTTCACGCTGCAGAGTGAGGCGCACCAGAATGGTCTTTGAAGACATCCAGACGGGAGAACAACCCTTGATGGATCTTCTGGGCATCCAGCCAGGGAAGGAATACCCCTTGGTGAAGGGTGAAGTTGTCTTCTGAAGGGTGGGGAGAAAGACTCCGGGCCATCTGAGGAAATGGTCCTTCTCCAAACCATCAGCTGCTCCTCACACAGCATCAGGAGATGCTGGCGATGTGACAACAACTTTGTTTGTTTGCTTGAAGCGCAAAGAGCCACCAGTCAAATGGTGTGTGCTACACAGAGGAGATGCTAACTCTTCAGAGGAGTTAGAGACGCAACGTAGAGATGCAACTGACACCATCCACGTTCACAACAGAAGTAAAGAAGAATCCAATCACAGACCATATTATGGAAAGAGGCCTCAGCAGTAACTTATTCTGAGCTATTGATTTTCTGCACCAGCAGGACTTTTTACCTTACAGATAGTTCTCAACTTACGACTATTCGTTTAGCGCAGGGGTCTTCAAACTTGGCAACTTTAAGACTAGTGGACTTCAACTCCCAGAATTCCTCAGCCAGCCCACAAGTCCACAAGTCTTAAAGTTGCCAAGTTAGAAGACCCCTGGTTTAGCGAGTGTTCGAAGTTACAGCGGCACTGAAAAGTCACTGATCACAAGTCCTCGTACCTACGACCATTACAATACAACCATCACAGTCATGTGATCAAAATTTGGCCATGTAGCAACTGGCGTGTATTTACGACGATTGCAGCGTCCTGGGGTCACGTGACCTGCCCAGCCGGATTCCTCCAAGTCAATAGAAGCTAGATCCGTTTAATGGCCACGCAACTCACGTAACAAAAAGTGGCCAATGGAAATCATGGCCGCAAGCTGAGGACGGTCCACTAAACTGGCCTTTGCCAGGATTCCATCAGATGTCATCTGGGCCACAAATCTCTTCTTTAAAGTCTGTCACTACTTTGGATAGTCAACCGGTCATAAACCGAGGAGTCTCTGTAGAAATGGGAGAAGGAGGATGCTAAAATCTCTCTTCACCCCCACCCCGACTTTACTTTTTAATGGCTTTTGTTAGCGTGGAGACAGGCCGGTTTATTCCTGCCTAGCTTTATCGACGATGGCGCCTTAACCCCGCTCTACGTCAACACCCTGACCTCAGCTGCTGAAATGTCAGGGATCTCCAGCTAGCTTCTGGCTGAGAAAAAAATGACCCAGCCCTGGGGCAGTTTGAGAACTGCCCACCCACCCACATGTCTGTGCAAACGCAGATGGCTGCATTTCTGGAGGCCTCAAAAACTAAAAAAAAAAAAAAATAAGACATGAAATTTTTGTCCTGGCAAATCAGAAACGCCCCCACCCCCAAATGATCTGTCTCTTTTGCTTTTTCTCCTGCCACACAACATGCAAATTCAGATTACATCCAAGACCTCAGCATTCCCTTTTCTAGCCAAAGTTAGTTGCACGTTTGCAAGCCAGCCTTCACACTTTGCCAACCTTGAAAACACTTGTTTGTTTCCATGCACCCTTCCGAGAAGATCACACCAACAATCTGAGTCCTGACCGGTGAGCCCTCGGCGGGCGACAACCGATGCATTATTTAAATTTTGTGTCAAGGAAACTGCAGCAGAAACATCCCCGACTGGGAATTAAAAGTCCCAAGAGGAACCACCTGCTTTTCTTCCTTTGCTGGCTCAAGAGAAGTTTAGATAAGTCTTGTCAAGAAATAAGACTACTGTACAGCAATGAGGAAGAGAGCTGCATGCTTGTATGACATGTTACTAGTCCATAAAGTCCTTCCTTCCTTCCTTCCTTCCTTCCTTCCTTCCTTCCTTCCTTCCTTCCTTCCTTCCTTCCTTCCTTCCTTCCTTCCTTCCTTCTGGTTCTTTCCTTCTATCCTTCCTTCCTTCTTCTCTCCTTCTTTCTGCCTCCTTCCTCCCTCCCTCTCTCCTCCCTCCTTCCTTCCACTTCCTCCTTCCCTCCCACCTTTCTGCTTTTCTTTCCTTCTTTCCTCCTTCCCTTCCTCCCTCGCTTCCCTTTTTCCCTTCTTGTTTCAACTTTCCCTTTTTCCCTTCTTGTTTCAACTTTTCTCCCTCCCTTCCTCCCTTGCTTCCCTTTTTCCCTTCTTGTTTCAACTTCTCTGGGCAAAACATTCTTATAATATTGAAGAGCGATGGTTAAGTTGGCAGCTTTTAAATTTAATAAAGTCTTATTTAAAGTTTTCATTAGCTGCGTAGGGTTTCTGCTGTATTTGGTTCATTCAATCCATTGCAAAGAAATCAGGAAGTTTAAAACTTTGTTACCGATTTCCTTTCTTGCTTGAGCTCCTGTACATAGCGGGCTAACTCTGTGGTGATCTGGGAGGTCATGTTCTCCGAAATAACTTCATGTTGACCAGCATAATCGTTCATTTCGTTCAGAGTCGCTAGGAAAGCTCGGCATGATGAATACCTAAAAGGGGCAAGAAAAAACTGAAATTCAAACATTTTTTAAAAAATCATATTACTTTTCAATGGTTAGACTCGTCCTATCGTTCCTAGATAGATTTAGAATATAGAATCATAAGGCTGGAAGAGACCCCAGAGATCTTCTAGTCCAACCCCTTGCTGCTGCCTGTTAAAGGCAGGCATGTGCTAAACCCAAATATTTTCCTTCATTACCAAACTCACTAGTCAGAAAGTTTTATCAAGCTCTGAGGACCTTCCTTCAGCACTCTCGCTGAAGAAACAGTCATAACTCAAGGACCGCCTGGATTATGGAGAGAATATTAGCCAATGACTTCGTGGCATTTCAGCAAGTTACTGCTGGGTAATTTCATCGATTTTCCAATTTATATTTTGGGATTGAAGGTGGAAACCTACGTGTATTCATCCTCTTCTTTGGAATTCTTTTTGGGCTGGTATTTCTTTGCGAGATTCCTAAAATAAAACCAGAAAGAGAGAAGGTGAAAAAAAAATGATTGCCAATTAAATAGCAAGCTCCTTATATTTTCTTTTTTTTTAAAACGGAAGATAGGTTTGCTTAACGACCACAGATTCACTTAACAATCTTTGCAATTTATTTAACGACCACTGCAAAAATTTCATTAAAATCAGGTCAGTCATGTGATGACTGCTCACCTCCAGGCATGGCTTACAGCCGTTATTCTGGGCTGAAGCATAGTCATAAATGGAGGACTGCCTGAAAACCTTGAATCTGTGGCTGCGAGCGACTGAAAACCAAGGTTAATTTCTCCACCTAGCCTCTCGGAAACCCTTCCTTGTGCTTTTTCAAGGGAAGCTTCATTTTGTTCCCAAAATAAAGAGAAATGAATTTCTATCCGAGGGTGCAGCTTGCTAAATTTGGAACTTGGGCGAAGTGGTTTCTCCAATGAGACAATCAGCATCTCTTAATGATGAAACATTTTACAAGTAAAGACTTCAATCAGACATCCAAGCCTATTTCTGTATCAGCCATAAACTATGCTGCAAATGGAACGGGTCAGGTTGGGGATAAAATACTCACTAAATCAATAAAACAATTACAAAGCTAATGAAGAAAGATTTTCTCTCTCTTTCTCTTAGAACAGTCACTAACTAAGTCGAGAACAGTCACTAAGTAAGTTGAGGGCTATCTGTACTTGGGAATATGCAGCCAGTTAAACCAAGATCAAATATGTTTCTCTGTAATTCAGATCTGAAAGGGGGAAGTTTCCTCCGTAGTTAAATGCAGGGAATAAATTTGAAAAACGCACATTTAACCTGCTGCACAAATATACTGTCATCCAGCATGGGAGTTGTAAATTTACAACTGGATGAAATGCACAAGCATCACATGCTTCCCAACGGTATCTTGAACTCACCTAAGCTGCTTTGCATAGTTGATCTCAATCTCCGTTCTGTCTTTGACAAATTTGATATATTTTTCCAGAATGTCGATACCCCACTGGGTGTGTTTTTCGAGGGTGTCAAACTGATCCTGCAGAAGAAAAATGAGAAATATTTAATTGGACGGTCAGATCAAGCTTGGATTGCGCTGTTCATCCTTTCAAAGAAACATTTTTTTAAAAAAAAAATAGTCGTCTTAAAAAGTCCACCTTAATGATGACTGCAGCAAACACAGGATTTGGAAGAAGAAGCTCTCCTAACCAAGGAGAGAAGCAACCTAGAACTAAGGAGAAATTTCCTGAGAGTGAGAACAATTAACCAGTGGAACTCCTTGCCTCCAGACGTTGTGGCTGCTCCATTACTGGAGGTTTGCAAGAAGAGACTGGACAGCCATTTGTCTGGAGTGGCACAGGGTCTCCTGCTTGAACAGGGGGTTGAAGTAGAAAATCTCCAAGAACCTTTCCAATCCAATTATTATATGTTTACGTCTGTTAAGCAGAAAGCTATGAATATTCAGTACTTAAATACTGGTTCTAGTGGAAAAGGCACCAGGCTAGAAACCAGGAGGCTGGGAGTTCTAGTCCCGCCTTAAGCACGAAAGCTGGCTTGATGGCTTTGGGGCTATCTTCAGGAGACCGTGAGTTCTAGTTTTGCCTTAGGCACGAAAACTAGCTGGGTGATTTGGGACCAATCACAGTGAGATGGTGAGTTGTATGCATGAAAGCTGACTGGGTGACTTTGGGACAATCAGGAGGCGGTGAATTGTAGCGCCGCCTTAGGCACGAAAGCCAGCTGGGTAACTTTGAGCTGATCATCAGGAGATGGAGAGTTCTAGTCCCTCTTTAGGCCTGGGTGACCCAAGGCTCCTTTGATTTCTTTTGCCACAGTCATCCTATTACGATTTGTATTTATTACTACAATAATTATTATTATACTTCCAGTTGTTGCTAAGAAAGATGCAAGAAGGGGATTTTATGGGTGATCTTCACTTGCTTGGCCTAAATTTTAGATTGGATTTGCTAAAAAAAAAAAAATTAAAAAACCCTCTCTACTTTGAAGAACACAAGAGATTTTTTTTTAATTAAATTCATTTGGTTGGTGGAAGCTAATTGCACCGATCAAATGAAGTGTAATTAAAGTTAACTTTAATTCCTAAATAAGGCAGCCTTGGTTTTTTGTTGTTGTTGTTGTTTTAAATGGAATCAGAAGCATTTTGAACTCAGTTTGGTTATTGTTTTTCATTCGGTGTATTCCAAATGCATTTTTTTTAAAAAATTCTGTGCTTCTACTGAAGACAAAAACCAGCGTATTTACTTACAAAACAAAACTAACTTCAAGCAAAACAAATCAGTTTCAAAGAGAACAAGACGTAAAACCAGCAATGTGGCTGAAAGAAGAAATAAAGGGAACATCTCTGCTAGTTCCTCTCTGTTTACAAATAAACAAACCCGTGAACAGGATTTAAAAAGAAACTTTTTTGCAAGGAGCTGAGAACAGCTACAACTTTAAAGTTAATTTGACTGTTTGTTCCTTTTGGTTACAAGTTTCAACTTAAGTAAGGAAGTGTTAGAAAAACAGAAAATGAAGGAGGAAAAAGAAGTAGAATTTCCCACAGGACAGTCCACTACAGAGGTTTTTTTAAAAAAAGATTCTTTAAATTAAAAAAAAATAACGAATTGCATGCATGCATAGACCAGACTAGAATTCACTGTCTCCTGGTGATTGGCCCAAAGTTATCCATCCGGGTTTTATACTTAAAGTGGGACTAGAACTCACCCTCTCCTGGTGTCTACTGCTGCCTTCACCACTAGACCAAACTGCCTCTCTCCAGATTTTCCCAGAACCCTTCAAACTCTTTCTTGGATAAGTATAGATGCACCAGGCAGCGTTCCTTCGTCTTTCATCTTCCAACAGAAGACTTGAAGAAAAGAATTTGGAAGCCACGTTAATCTACCCGGTCATAAACAGACCGTTCAACTTTCAGCCATCAGGATCAAAAGTCCAAAATTAGATTATGATCCGGAGAACGGCAAGAAAATTGGCTTTGACAAGTTTTCTGATTATTCTGCATTTTGTCAAGTCACGGACTGGCGATGAGCGAAGTGCTAATCAGCCAGACACAAAACCCACCTCATTAATCTTGCATTAGCTACCAAAATGTTCCTCCTGAAGCCTTTTTGAATTTAGCAACTTCAAGTCTTAAAAGAAAAGTATAATTGTCTCTGTTCAAAGTGGGCTCTTCTCTCTCAAGCCTGTAGTTCGGAGGAAGACGCTCTTACTAGAAAGAAATATCCAGGGATGTTTTTTACACCGTTTTCCTCCTTGTCACTCACCTGCATCATTCTGCAGAAGGGAGCATGGGAACTGCATGGAGAAAAGCCAGAATCTTCATCATAAGCCACAGCATCAAAGCTGTTTATTTTTGTGCCTTCCTTCTTTCTCTCATGCTTCTATTCCTTCCTTCCCTCCCTCCCTCATCTTTCTATATCTTTTTTCTTTCATCTCTTAACTTTTTCTTATTCCCTCCCTTTCTCAATTTTCTATTTCTCCTTCCTTCGTTTTCTTTTTCTTATGCTTTCCTTCCTTTGCTCATCTTTCTTTCTCCTTCCTTCTTCCCCCTCCCATCAGCTTTCTATCTTCATTCTCTTCTTTCCTTCTCTCATCTTTGTATTTCTCTTACTTTTATCTTTTTCCTTTCCCTTTCTTCCTTCCCTCGTGTTTCTATTTCTCCTCCCCCCTCCCCCACCACTCTCCATCTTTGCAGATTGTGGGGCAGAGATTGGGGAGATGCCTTTCGTGAGTAGCTGAATTTGTTTCTCTGCGCAGGGTTGGGATAGATGATCCTTGGGATCCCTATGTTTTTAAGGTTCTCTTAGCCCCAGACCAGTTCAAGCACCAGTTGCAGAAGTCAAATTGCAAAATGGCCATTACTGGACAGCAGTTTTTGCATTTTTTTTCCCTGCAGCTCAAATCTGAATCGAATGGAACGATTCTGTGAGGTTTCACACTTCCCCTTTGTCCCTTCCAACCACCCCCACACCACTCCACAAACTCCAAAACACGGTGCCATCGGATGCTTCTCCCACCCCCTAGCCATACTTGCCATTAATACAACCCTGGTTTCTGGAACATGCCACAAACAGCTGCTCCCATGCAAGCAACAGAGCCTCCAACCCTGAAATCTCAAATAGCACTGAACCAAAAGCCAGGATGCTGGCTTCATGCCATGTGGGAGCTCAACAAACCAGGACATCCCTCCACTGAATGATGATTGGAAGAGGGTAGAATAAGCGATGCCCCCAAAGATTTGGATTTAAGTCACAATCCACCCAGCAGCTGTTCTGCGTCTGGTTAGCGCCTTCCAGCAAATGGCAAGGAAGTCAGTTAAACACCAAAGCGGCAGTTTTCGGCTGCTGCTATAGCAACAGAGTCGGCATCCCTAGAAAGGGGGGGTCTTCTCCACCAATGGAGCATCGCTGGCCTGGCTGTTCCATTTCTAACCGTGGTTTGATTCGAGGAAGCCCCAGCTCGCTCTGCCAATCAGACCCTCCTCCGGCCCAGCTTGATTGAAAGAGCCATGCCAATCTGCCCTCTGCCCCAGCCACAGGGGGGTGACAACATTAAGGGAAGAAGGTAGAAGGGGACTCCGGGCCAGGGGTCCGTCTCCACCGCCTTCCTGTCGGGGCCGAAAGGATGCCGCATCCTTGTGGGCATCTTTGGGGCACTCTGCAAACTGCAAGCCCACCGGCATTGGGGCCATTGTTTGGGGCTCTGGAGGAACAAGGGTGCCCATGTTGGAGGCAGATCGCAAGGACAGACACTCCTCAACTTACAACAACAACCGAGCCTCAAATTTCCACTGCTATGCAAGACAGCTGTCAATTCGTTTTGTCCTGTTATATGATCTTTCTTCCCACCGTTGTTAAGTGAATCACTGCAGTTGTTAGGCTGCTATGTGAATCTCGCTTCCCCACTGACTTGACAAAAGGGGATCACGTGACCCCGGGACACGGAAACCGTCACAAATACATGCCAGATGCCAAGAAACCGAGTTTTGATCCCGTGACCTTGGGCATGCTGCGACGGTCGTATGAAAAATGCACATGTCACTTTTTTCAGTGTCGTTGTAACGTTGGATGGTCACTAAATGAACTGTTAAGTTGAGGACTGCCTGTATATTGAGTGACTGATTGTTCCCACTGCTTTTGAGCAGGGTGAATAAAATCCGCTTCCTTGTTTTCTCCTGGAACTCAGCCTCGTACAGAAAATACAAAAGAGCTGATCTGAAATTAACTCCTGCCACAAGAAGCTGAAGCAAAACTCCACCGACAAATAACACAAACGAGTTGCGGTACTCGATTCCTCTAAACGCAAAGGAAACATTTCCCCCACAGTGAATGTATAGATACATCCAGGGCACAAAATAATTAAGACTCTCCCTATCGATGAGAAGAGTTTTACAGTCCGCAGGCTGAGGTTTGACAGAGGAATATTCTATTTTTAAACTGAGTGGCTCAAACAGCCCCTTAAATGGGCTACAGCATCACATCACTTAGTTAACACTCTCACACTTTTTTTTTTTGGGGTGAATCTGCAATTGAAGAGGTGGCAGCCTTCTGCATGTTTTGGCCTCCTGCACAGAGGGAAGAAGCTGGAAATAAGGTGGACCTTATTATCACCCAAAGAAACCGAAGACGGATCCCTGCCTTAAGGGGTTCACAAGCACACAATTAGGGAGAGAGAACACGCAAAGACAATCCAGATCAGAAGGGCCCTTGTGACTCTGAATAACACACCCGATCATCCGTCTGGAAGATCACAAAAAATGTAGTGGAATCTATCTGGCGTCTCAAAAAGAGAGAACACAGATAGTCCTCGACTTAACAACTACGCCCAAAATTTCTGTTGCAATGCAAGGTAGTTGTTAAGTGGGTCACGCCCCATTCTACGACCGTTTTTGATATCAGTGTCTCACATCAAAAGATGTCTAAGATCAGAGGCAGAATCTACCCAAGACTCGCTTCATTGAAGATCAAAAGAGAAAGTTTTTTTCTCCAGAGACTGGGGGAGGGGGTGTCAAATGGAGAAAGT